CCTTCTTCTGAAAACAACAAGAGATGCATCAGGTGCTGCGAGGAGACGAGTTATGGATCATTTGAGAAGCATGAATATCTCTGAGGAGGAAAACTGTAAATACAACCTCCAATGTACAGAAAGCGTTTCTCCACTCAGCATCATGAAAACGGATCTAAAGCTGTGAGACTGATGGATTCAGCAGGCAGAAACACTTTGGTTACAGCGCCCCCATGTGGCAGAGTGGGGCCATATTTTCTCCATGTGTGATGACTGAGTCTGATGTGTCTAAGATTTATCACTCCATGGTAAATGAGGAGACGTCAACAACAACAAGTCAAACAGAACAACAACAGGAGTTTGGTCCTTCAGCTTTAAACCTGTGCTTTTATTTCATCTTCCCGTCGACCGGGACGCTTTTGTCCGCTCTGCTTTGACTGGTTATAAAACAGGAAGTATAAATTAACAGCTTTTTAGCCAACTTCATTCCAGCTCATCAGCACGAGTTTTACTCTTCTTTTTGGTCAGCAGAGCTCATTTACATGAAACTCCAGCTGGTGTTTGAGCGAATCAGCAGAATGAGGAGTTCTTCTGGATCATCACAGACTGGTATATGTCAGATATTAACCAGGATGTTCCCAAGTCACAGCTGACTGAAGCTCTTTTACACTGAACACAGAGAACAGTTTGAACTCTGTCTCCATGAGCTGTCGGCCTGTTGGGTTAAATAATAATAATAATGTCTTTTGGCTGAGAACGTCCTGCTGTTCTGGTTTTCTGTTGGCTTCTGGCACACAGCCACACACTGTTAGAGAACCTGTTGGTTTTATTGTCTTTATTAATCTGAGGGCTCCTGCCTGAACACCAGGGAGCGGCTCTGTCCTGCTTCATTACTACACTTAGAATAGATCAGACACAGTCAGCTGGGACTTCTGTTTTAATGGGCCCCGGGCCCTCTCAGGTAAGAACAGGTGGCCCTTGAAGCAGGATGGGTTGAGAACCTCGGCCCTAAAGCGCAGCTGCTCTTCCTGGGTCCACATTTAAAGACACACATCCTGCATATTCTGTTCCACGGTGTTCATTTGCTTTTCAAATGTATTTAGACAATAACAGCTTTCATCACTGCTTTCTTTAGTGCTGCTGTTCAACGTGCATCACCATGGTAACCTGATCACTACTGGAAGATTTCACTACGCAGGTTATTATTTAAACAACATCCCAAACAGGCGTCACAAGAAACATTTCAGTTTCCCTCATTTGAACTGAGTTTCAGTGATGAGCTCATGCTTCCTCCTGCTACAACAGCTGGATGTGCTGCTCCAGTTGTCTCCTGCTGCCATGTGGACACCGGCCAGACCGCTGACACCGCCTGGCACCACTAGAGCTTCTCAGAGCTTTCAAAGTCAGCGTCACTACTGAAACTTCAAACGCCTCCAAACTCACGGTGTTCACTGCATCTGGAAACGGTAACACTTTTAAACCTTTAGAGCCTTTAGATCAGGACAAATGGTTTTAATGTGACACAAACACACAGTGAGAAAAGTCCCCTGAGGGCCCCTCACTTTCCCTTTGGGGACAGGAGTCATTACATGTCATCAGCTGCACGTCTTTAGGATATGTTTAGTAAGAGAACATGTTGTAGTGTGAACAGGAAGTCCAACCTTTGATGGTAACATAATAGTGCTCAGCAGAGACTGCAGACTCTGGCATCATGGCCTTCTTCAGGCTGTCCTTGGATTGGACACATTACTGTCACCAGGTAAGGACAGGTAATTACTCCTGTTCATCCTGATCTGTCCTATCAGTGATCAGGGATCAGTGAGCAGCATGTTGTTAGTGTTCCTGTTGTCACATCCCGGCTCACAGAACGTGACACACTGCCAGCACTCATTATAAATTATTATTACACTAGGGCCTATATCTTTCCTGCTAATTACCTCTCTTAATAAGCTACTGTATCATACTGCAGATATCCACATTTATTACTACATTCAATGGTTTGTATAGGTCTACTTTATAATATTCTCTGCTCACTAACTTCAACTAGGCCTACCTATTATTTCTATTCCTTTTATGCCTTGCGAGTATCTGCAACAAAGAATTCACTCTCGTAGATCAATAAAGTATTCAGACTGTGAAAATGGATAGGGTAGTGGTTAAGACATATGCCTTTAGTGTTAGAGATGTGGGTTCTATTCCCACTGTGATACATGTGACCCTGAGCAAGACACTTATCCCCAAGGTGTGCCCTCTGACACAGCAATTGTGATTCCCTTTTGAGAAAAGCGTCGGCTAAATGAGTGATTACTTATGAAACAACACACAGATGTGTTTTATTTAAACACACTTTTATTACAATCCCCATCTGCTGTCTCTGACAATCTGAAGACATTTGTTTATTGTATGGTGATTACTCCGAAGTCCTGTCGGTCATGTATTGATAAGACGTTTAGAATTGTAAACGCAGGTCAGTCATTGTTTCAATGAAACCCCTACCAAGATATGTCAGTATCAAAAGTGACCAGTAGGTGTCACCATGGAGACGGGTGTCGAAGTGCTTCAAACATTTCAATGTTTCACAAAGCCTCGCTTTGCCCATCACTAGTAGATACTAACCTTCTCCTGTTAAAGAAAGACCTGATCCACAACAAAACCACGTCTCTGCTCTGATGGACAAGAGGAACTGGCAGAAGTGTGTTTCATGTCATCTGTTAATATTGATTATTGTGAAATTATTCTAATTAATGCAGTTTCATGTGATCTGATTTGAAGTGACATCATGAGGAAGAAGAAATGCAGTTTAAATCCTTTTTATTTCTTTATTGTTTCATTATTATACTGATAAAAAGTTGGACTGACTTCAGTGTTTAAGGTGTGATAGCCGCATTAGCAGCCACACATGGAAACAACAACTCACGGTGGTAACTCTTTCTTTTGTTTTGAGCACATTACATATTATACAAAATAAATAACTTGACACACTTTAGTTTTAAAAACAGTTTTATAATTTATTTGACTTAGTTTTCTATTTGGGTGCACACATTTAGTTAACTTTGTCAATTTAGTTAATTTCAGGTTCAGGTGCATTATCTTTAAGTTGTGTTCTGTGAAATTAATACCTTTCTAAGTTACCACTTCCTGGGGAGTTGCTACTGGCGGTCTCTGGCTGGCTGACAGACAAAAGGATTTCCAACTTTCTGTAAGTTGTTGAAGTAGGGGAATGGATAATTGGACTGCGCCATGTTTTCCCATATCAGAGTGTTCCACTTTTGAGATGTGTTCTTTTCTTTGCTAGTTATACTTTGTTGTTATGATTATTTGATTGATTTACCCTTCGTTTATATTAGCATTGGCTTAACATTTTTGTAGTTATTGTGGTTTGTTAATATACACTGCTCAAAAAAATAAAGGGAACACTAAAATAACGCATCCTAGATCTGAAAGAATTAAATAATCTCATTAAATACTCCTTTCTTTACATAGTTAAATGTGCTGACAACAAAATTTCAATGGAAATCAAATTTATTAACCCATGGAGGTCAGGATTTGGAGTCACACTCAAAATCAAAGTGGAAAACACTACAGGCCGATCCAACTTTGATGCAATGTCCTTAAAACAAGTCAAAATGAGGCTCAGTAGTGTGTGTGGCCTCCACGTGCCTGTATGACCTCCCTACAACGCCTGGGCTCCTGGTGAGGTGGCGGATGGTCTCCTGAGGGATCTCCTCCCAGACCTGGACTAAAGCATCCACCAACTCCTGGACAGTCTGTGGTGCAACGTGGCGTTGGTGGATGGAGCGAGACATGATGTCCCAGATGTGCTCAGTTGGATTCAGGTCTGGGGAACGGGCGGGCCGGTCCATAGCATCAATGCCTTCCTCTTGCAGGAACTGCTGACACACTCCAGCCACATGAGGTCTAGCATTGTCTTGCATTAGGAGGAACCCAGGGCCAACCGCACCAGCATATGGTCTCACAAGGGGTCTGAGGATCTCATCTTGGTACCTAATGGCAGTCAGGCTACCTCTGGCGAGCACATGGAGGGCTGTACGGCCCCCCAAAGAAATGCCACCCCGCACCATTACTGACCCACCGCCAAACCGGTCATGCTGGAGGATGTTGCAGGCAGCAGAATGTTCTCCACGGCGTCTCCAGACTCTGTCACGTCTGTCACATGTGCTCAGTGTGAACCTGCTTTCATCTGTGAAGAGCACAGAGCGCCAGTGGCGAATTTGCCAATCTTGGTGTTCTCTGGCAAATGCCAAATGTCCTGCACGGTGTTGGGCTGTAAGCACAACCCCCACCTGTGGACGTCGGGCCCTCATACCACCCTCATGGAGTCTGTTTCTGACGTTTGAGCAGACACATGCACATTTGTGGCCTGCTGGAGGTCATTTTGCAGGGCTCTGGCAGTGCTCCTCCTGCTCGTCCTTGCACAAAGGCGGAGGTAGCGGTCCTGCTGCTGGGTTGTTGCCCTCCTACGGCCTCCTCCACGTCTCCTGATGTACTGGCCTGTCTCCTGGTAGCGCCTCCGTGCTCTGGACACTACGCTGACAGACTCAGCAAACCTTCTTGCCACAGCTCACATTGATGTGCCATCCTGGATGAGCTGCACTACCTGAGCCACTTGTGTGGGTTGTAGACTCCGTCTCATGCTACCACTAGAGTGAAAGCACCGCCAGCATTCAAAAGTGACCAAAACATCAGCCAGGAAGCACAGGAACTGAGAAGTGGTCTGTGGTCTCCACCTGCAGAACCACTCCTTTATTTGGGGGGTCTTGCTAATTGCTTATAATTTCCACCTGTTGTCTTTTCCATTTGCACAACAGCATGTGAAATTGATTGTCAATCAGTGTTGCTTCCTAAGTGGACAGTTTGATTTCACAGGAGTGTGACTGACTTGGAGTTACATTGTGTTGTTTAAGTGTTCCCTTCATTTTTTTGTCTACCCCCTTTTTGTCAGAATGGCCTGATCAGCCACTATATAAGTCTCAGTCTTGTTAGGTCTGTTTAGTTCAGCTTATTTTAAGGTTATGTTACCTGAGTTAAGTTCTGTTTAGTTGACCTCTTTTATGGCGCAAGAATTTTTCTTTCTGACTCCTCATGCCTGACAGCTTGGTCCCTCACAAATGGCATAAATCTCTGTCAACTGTTTGTGTCTCTGACATTAAAATGTTTTCTTGAACAGAAAAAGCTTGTGTTTCCTGACGGCTTCAGTCATTTAGAGATTGATAAAGAAGTTTAGTTCTTGTGCAGATAATCAACAGGACTGAAGGTTCAGCTTTCTGTCTGTCAGTCTGAGACAGAAACTGGACCAACAGCTCTGACAAACATGAGGAAGCTGAAGCTCCTCCTCTTTCCTCAGAAGAGATCTGTGGTGATCTGGACTCATTCCAGAGAGCTGCTTTAACAAAGTCTGAACCTGAACTCTGAGCTGACAAACTCACAGTTTCACTTCACAACAGCTGATCACAATCACTTCATCCACTCTGAGGATTAAAGTGAAAAACCATCATCAGTGGACGGAGAGACAGAGTCTGGCCCAGCTGCCTTCTGTCTCCTGAACAGTCTGTGAACGTCCCCCTCCAGGATGGACAGAGGTGTCCAGGTGGTGGGTGAGGAGGAGGGGCCTAACAGCAGCATGCTAGCTGCTAGCAGGTGTGTTAGCAGTTAGCTCAGCAGCCACACCTGTCTGTCACAATAATGTTTGTGTGAAAGCTGCTCAGCCAGTTTCTTCACATTCCAACAGCTGCTTCAGTGGAAACAGTTTAAAGTGAAACTCCAGTTTTCTCCTCACAGAGTCAGCAGATTATCAGGAGGAGGAAAGGGACAGCTGGCTGTGAACTGATGTCCTCACTGTGTTTCTGAAGACTTCCTTTAGTGAGAAGCAGATTAACTTTGTGCTTGTTGTAGTTTCTACAGGAAGATGAAGATGTTTGTGGTGTTTGTGATCCTCGTGCACGGTAAGATAACCTTCCTCCCTCTGATCTGATCATCCCCTCAGTCCAACGTCACGTCTTTAATCTGGGTTTCTGTCATCTTCACTTCATCAGTCTGTTTCAGCTCCATGACGATGTTTTCTTCAAATAACATGAGCAACATATTAAAGGCAGCATGTTTTAATGTTTCTTTAAATCCTCATGAATGTAGAAGACGGTCCAGTCAGACTGTCCTCAGGTCTTCAGGATTATATCCCTGTAGGTTGCTCACAGTCTTCTAGGTTATATCACCAACAGTAACACTGATCCTCTGCTGACAGCAGCATCACATGTGGATCGTCTGTCTCATCTGTATGAAGTGTCTCCAGATGTCCATCTGTCCTGTCTTTTCCCTGAGTATTATGGACTCCCTCTGAAGACGTGATGGAGAGATGGAAGGAAGAGATGTGAGGAAAGGAGTTCAGACAGTGAACACACTCATTTTAACACCATGTTGAGTCAGAAAACAGAGTCCATCTAAACAGTGAGAGCAACATGACAGCTGAGGTGCTTCTGTTATTTGTCAGCTGCTGTTGGTTTTAAACTGTGCTGATGTGGTTTCACAGCAGTTAATCAGCTGCAGTGTCCAATCAGAGACAGGACCAGGTTGATTTCTGGGTCACCTGAGGATCCAGGAGGAATAAGACATGAAATAAGGCTGCTGTGATTGAACCTCTCTGTCTGTGTGACCTCACAGTTTCCCAGCATGCCTCAGCTGTGGAGCTGTATGAGGGGGAGGAGTTTGTCCTGCTGCCCTGTGAGTTGAACACTTTTGACATGGACGACCCCACAGTGGTGTGGAGCCGCTATGATCTCGATCCTCCAACCGTCCACCAGCGTCAGCAGGAAGGTGATGAACTTAAAGACCAAAACCAGCTTTACAGCGGCCGAACATCCATGATGACTGACGCTCTGGAAACTGGAGACCTCAGCCTCAAGCTGACAAAACTCCAGCTCTCTGACAGCGGCACCTACACCTGCACCGTCAGAGTGTTTGGATATCAAGAGAGAGTGAGAGAGATACAGCTGCAGGTCAAAGGTCAGCAACAAACCCTAACAGCTGCTGTAGATACAGGTCAGAGGTCAGAGGTCATGTTCTTTATGTTTCTGGTTCCCACAGAACGATTTCCATCCTGGGCCAAAGTTCTCCTGGTTCTCCTGGTTCTCCTGGTTGTTGGTCTTGTTGCTGCTGGGGGTCTTCTGGTACATTTCCGGCAGTATTTCATGTCAGGTATGTCACTACTACTACACCTCCAGCATATGAAGGTGTAATTGGAGCAGAACAGCTGAACACTTGTGACAGGGGAACCTGTAGATGTAGAAATTAGTCCCACATGTGTTTCAGTGATACTGAAGTCACAGAGAAACAAAAGTTTTTCTCTCTCCACAAACACAACAGCTGCTCTTCTCAAGTTCTTCACGGCAGCTGCACAAATCCTGTTCTACGAATCCCAAATAAAGAAACCAGAAGTGGAAAGAGACCAAAATACTCTACTGAAGTAAAAGTACGTTTTCTTTGAAGGACAAATAAAGAAGCTCATTTAAAATGTACTCAGAGTAAAAGTTACTTAGTTACTTTTTAACCTCCTCAAAGAACTTATTTATTCTGATTTAATTAAATTGCAGTCTTTTGTGATTTCATAAGGGAACAAAGCCGTATTACGTTTTCTATTTTAGTTTGTTTGACAGATACTTTGCCAAAACAATGTTAGAGACCTTTTATGTTGTTATGAGAAGTTTTTGCTTCATGATGAAACAGATCAGACTCTGGTGGGCCGCCCTGGACTGTATATGAAGTCATGTCCCTATTTACATTCAAACAGATGGTCATTTTAATGGGACTTCAGGCGTTAGTATAATTAATTTTTTATTAACACAGGCCTAAGCATTATTAACTAGTTACCAGCAGGTTGCTAGTGCCAACCAACATTAGTGATGTCTTTTTGGTTAATTTGAGCAAAGCCTCTTACCAAACTATGGAAACGTATTTTACCAGCTACCTGTGGTCCAAGCAGGGTGTGAACTACAGAGGAGCTCGGCTCCTCTTAATAAGACACCACATGCTGTTGGTGCCATTAGTTTCTGTTTTTCTGTATCATCATGGATCATGTGTCTGATTTTACACATGATGATACTGCAGCAGGAGTCACAGTCAGTCTGTCTTTTAAACACAATGTGTGGATGGCAGATCACGGTTCAGATCAGTGCCTTGAAAATAATCAAGGTCAGCAACGCTCAGAGCTAATCTCACTGACAAATACATTTCCTGTGACTCCTTCATAATAAAAGTCAACTGGTGTTTCAGCAGTTAGATGCAGCAGCAGGAAATGTTCAATTGCATTAGCAGCAACTTAATACTGCAGTTTTTCCCTTGGTAATACTGCAGATATGTAAATACTGCAGTACTTTGATCAGTGGGCCACAGGCTCAGTCAGCACTGTGTTACCTCATTAGACGATAGACAGTGACTGAACAGACATTTATTTAATGAAAACCTTCAGATTCTAACTTTAATAAAGATTTGATTGAGTCCATCTGACAATAATACTCAGTGATTTAATAAACAGTCAGTTGTGCTGTTGATTGTAGAGACACCAAAGACAACACTGTCTCTGTTAGATGGAACAATGGGACATATTTCAGAGTTCCTGCTGCTGTCTGTACAGCTGATGTTGTGCTTTGTTGTCCTCTCAGTCTACCAGGTGGAGGTGGATTCAGGGGTGGAGTCTGTCCTGCTGCCCTGCAAAACCACAGTTCACTTGCCTGAAGACGTCACAGTGGAGTGGAGGAACAGAGACAACATGATGGTCCACGTATATAAGAACGGCTCTGACCAGCCTGAAGAACAGATCAGTTTTTACAGAGACCGAACAGAGATGAAGAGAAACCTGCTGAGACCTGGAGACCTCAGTCTGACCCTGAAATACCCCATAGATGAAGACAGAGACACCTACACCTGCACCGTCTACAGCAGGAAGAGAAAAATCCTGATGAGGAAACAAGTCCTGCTGCAGGTCAAAGGTCAGTGCTGTAGCCTAAATAGTGAGCGTTGCGTCTCCTTCACTCTAGTGAAGAACTTTGTGTGTGGCTGTGACATGAGGTTACTGTCTGTGCAAACACATGAAACACGACACAGTGCAGCTGCTCGGCCCCAGTTACTGGTCAGGGAAGCGAAAACCAAATGGCCTGTTTCAGTCCCCAGCTGATCAATCTGCACATCTCTAGCTGTAGAAGGTGACTTACAGTCCAACAAGCTGCTAAACAAGCTAGGTGATGTTATAACATCGTGGGCTCATGGAAAAATGATCAGTTATCAGGATTAATTTCTTAATGACTCAGCATCATCTGTATTAAAGACTAAAGAATGAGTTCATCTGATGTTTAAAGTGAATAAAACAGCCAGTCTGCTTAACATTACTGCAGTTTCACAACTACTGAAGGATCAAACTGGTTTTCTGCCACCGGACTCCTGAGAGGGAAAGCAGGCAGAGGACCAAACCACTTTAGATTGCGTCTCTCACAGTTGAAGTGTAGCTATGATAAAAATAACAGACCTCTACATGCTTTGGAAGTAGGAAAACCTGCAAAATCAGCAGTGTATCAAATATTGTTCGCCCCACTGTAGATATCATTACATTATTAATGCCAAAACTGTTTCAACAATAACTGACTGGGAAATATTCTGTTTGTTAAATGAATGCACGGCATGGATTTACTTAATACACAAGTGTTCATATTAGCAACATGCTACAGGTGGTGAATAATAGGCCTTATCATACAGCTGCATCTGTATCAAGGGAAGCCACCTTAATATTTTATAATGATACATAGGGACCTAGGTTACCCACAGCAGTGAGGGCCAACGCCAGGCTGACAAAATAACATCAGCTAGTCAGCCATTAGGACAGTTAGCCGAAGCTGCAGCTGCATCAGTAAACTATGCTAGCTACATAAACAATGTCAAATAGCTTCTGCTGCGCTGTTGGACTCTGAGACGTCAGCAGGTGACAGTCTCACTTTATGATAGCGGTATGATTATAATATTATCATTAACCTTAACTGGAGCGTAACCCAGTATAAACAGTAGAGTCTAAAAGAGTTCATTAGAAGTTAATCTGAGATTAAAAGTCATTTCATGTTGATGAACAAGGTAAAAACATGGAGATGTATTTTATTAAAAACTGTTATATGTTGTATGATAAATAACTCTAACACGATAATGTTGAGTTAAAAACAGCATTTTTATGTTCAACTGGTAAAACTGTGCTAATTGAGCTGGAGTCTAATAGTGGGCTGTCATTGGTTGGAGGAGTGCATGATGGGAAATCAAGGTCAGGAAAGGAGGAGAGCGGCAGAAGGAGGATGGCGTCTTTGAGCCCGGGAGTGGAAATGTTTGAAAATGTTGAGAGTATGGCGAGTGAACGGGATGGTGAGCGAGGAGAACGGCAGGAGGTAACATGGAAGAGACCAAGAAGGAAGAACTCTGTGTCCAGTCACAGTGAGTCGGAACAACAGAACCAACTGAAAAAAGAGAGGAAAACAAACGGGACGGGAGAGAGGAAAGTGGAGATGGAGTTCAGAGAAGTTTCTGGTAGTAAACTACATCCAGTGAAACTTCCAAAGAGATCGGACACATTAGACAAGCAAGATTTCTGAGTAAAGGGAAGATGTTGATTGAAGCAGTCAGTAGAGTTCAACAGATACTGAAGATGAAGACCTGAATGAAGTTCAAATTAAAAGTCCCGTTCCTGGGGCTAATCGTAAGGTTAGAGGAGCGATCAGTGGAGTTCCATTAGATATTGCTATTGAAGAAATGAAGAAAGAAATGAAAGGAGACAGAGTCACGGCAGTGAAGCGTCTTCCTACTAGATATCAGGGGAAATTAGTTGATAGTCTGTCCTACTGCAGTTTGAGGGAGACGTGCCTCAGAAAGTAATGATTGGCTGCATGAGCTTTAATGTGAGGGAGTTTGTACCTCAGCCGTTACGTTGCTTTAAATGTCAGAGAATCGGACATGTGGCAGATCAGTGTAAATCTAAGGGTGTGCTGGAGAACATGAATATGGCCGCTGCGCAGTAGTCACTAAAACTAAATGTTGTAACTGTGGGGGGAACATAGTGCTGCTTACCAGGGATGAGGAGTTCAAAAAAGAGCAAAAGATATTCAGAGATACAAAATAAAGTATCATACGCTGAAGCAGCAAAACAAGTCTCATTGATAGTGACAGCAGATTCTCAGCAAAGGACTTCCCTAAACTACCACAGACGCAGAACACGAGTGCCATAAAGTGTTCACATAAGTGTGCAGTTAAAGACGATGCTCTGATAGTGGAGAAGTTTCCATTTGTAGCTTTCATAGGTTTGGTAGTGAACGTAGCGCTGCAGCAGACAAAGAAAAGGTCCAGGCTGAGGACTATTGTTGAGGCAGCAAAAGATTATTTGGGGATCACGGAGATGACTGTAGACATGTTACATGAAATGTCAGCACCGAATGACGGAACATCTCAGTTTAGTGACTAAGTTCATAAAGGGTTTCCTTATCCTTCAGTGGAACGCCAGAAGCCTGATTGCAAACGCACAAGAATTTAAGAGAAATGTGCAACAGTTAAATGTAAAGCCTGACGTTATCTGTATTCAAGAAACATTCATAGTTCAGATAATTTGACAGAAGAAGGTAAAATCAGAAGACGGCAAACATTAGCTAGATACCCGGAGGTACTCGAGAACAGAAACTCTAATCAGAGTCCTCTAGATGAGGCCTTTACCGTGCCTGAGCTGAGGAGGGCTCTGAGTAAGAGTAAAAGAACGACACCTGCTAAAGACAATATGAGCTTTACTATGATAGAACATTTAAATGCTTCTGCATTGGGTAAAGTACTGGAGTTATTGAACAAGGTTTGGGAGGAGGGGAAGCTTCCAGTAGGGTGGAAAGAAGCAATTATTATTCAGATTAAGAAACCTGGGAAAGATCCTACAGATCCTGATCATTACAGACCGACAGCTTTAACTTCACATGTGTGTAAAACCATGGAGAAAATGATTCCAGAAAGAATAACATACTACTTAGAAAGAAATGAGCTTCTTTCAGCACTTCAGAGTGGATTTAGAAGGGGGCGTAGTACTCTGGACCCTTTAATATGTTTGGAAACTGATGTTAGGAAAGCTCAAGCTAATAAAGAGGGGGTGCTAGCTGTTTTCTTTGATATAGAGAAGGCGCAGGAGGTCTTTTAATACAGCGAGATAAAATGGGTATTGGAGGTAAAATGTAGAACTGGATCAAAGGTTTCTTATCTGGTAGCTACATAATAAGGAGCAAATATTACAATTACTTAGATATGTATACAGACGGATCTAAAGATGAAGAGGACGAGGGAGGAATAGGAATATATATATAGCAACAATGAATGTAAGCGTTGGGAAAAGATGACCTGATCAGGCTTCAGTGTACACGGCAGAGATGATGGTGATTATTGTAGGACTGCGGTGGGTTGAGGAAGTAAAACCAGACAGAGGGGTGTGTTGTGTTGATTCTCTAGCAGCCCTTTATAGTATTCAAAATATGAAATCTGATAGAGAAGATCTAATGCTAGAAATCCAACAGAGTTTATTTAGATTCCAGACACTACGGATAGATGTGAGATTCTGCTGGGTACCTGCCCACGTAGGTATAAAAGGGAATGAGAGAGCAGACAAAACAGCTAAAGAATCAACCGGGACGAACGATGTCATAAATACAGCCCTTGGAAAAGGAGAAGCTGAGGCGATAATCAGAAAAGAAACCATGAAGAAATGGCAGGACGGCTGGGATGTGGATAAAAGTGGAAGGAAATATTACAGCTTGTAAAAATCTATTAATGCTCAGGGAACAGAAGAGAGGAGAGCGTTTTAACCAGGCTGAGGTTTGATCATACAGGCTTAAATAAAACATTGTTTTAATGGGCAAAAGTCAATCAGACGTAGGAAATACAGGGATGAGAGGATGAGGCTGAATCAAAAGATGAGTCAGGCAGGAAGGAAGTGAACCTTGAAGGTTTATTAGGCCCAACAGGAGACGGAGTAAAGGACACACAGAAAGCTGTAGCACAATATCTGAAAAATATAGAGATATCAGAGATAGTGAGAGCAGCTGATGTTGGGGAGGACAGACAAATGTGTTGTAAATTATTACTGATGCAGTCAGAAACTCTCCAACCTCTTTGCAACCTGCAGCTTTGGCTTTTTTATCCAGCGCCCAGCAAAGTAACTTTAAAAAATAAAAGGACCAATATTTCAGTGTAAAAATGCTCAGCAGGTGATCAGAAATGACGTCATAACAGGAAACCAGAATAATCCAGGAGATCATTTCCATGGATGGAAAGAATGAGATCAATAAGTTATTGATTTCCAGTATTGATCAAGAAGAAAGCTGAAAGAAACCAAATGTGTTGATCACTCAGAACAAAGAAATGCAGCTTTAATAGTTTGGATCAATGAAAGATTGATGCTCAGTTCTCTTCACATCATGTTGAAGCCGTTTGGAAAGAAAAGTGGGCTCAGAGTCGGCAGAAGAAAAGGCCAAATATTGATGAAGCAGGAAGAGCAGTTTGGGATCAGATCCAGATCAGATGTTTGTGTGTCTCGGTGTTCTGGACTGATGTTGAACATGTGGAGCTGAGATTCATTTACAGAACAGAGATGAAAACATTTGAAAGCTTCTTCTCTTCAAAGTTCAGCTTTAGATCCAGAAATGTAAAAGTCCAGCAGCTCAACACTGACAGGAGACATTACTGTGAAGCAGCACATGGACAAAACAATCCCAGCAGCATCAAGACTCTGATCATCTCCAACAGCTTCCTGTGTTTCTGTCCCCTGTTAGCTGCTGCTCTCATCTGCTTCTGTCAATAAAGTTATTCAAACTGCTGCTGCTGTCTGTGCAGCTCATGTTCTGCTTTGTTGTCCTCTCAGTCTGTCAGGTGGAGGTGGAGGAGGGGGCGGAGTCTGTCCTGCTGCCCTGCAAGACCACAGACAACCTGCCTGAGGACGCACAGTGGAGTGGATCCACTATGATCCCTATGAGAGGTCCACGTGTATCAGAACGGCTCTGACCAGCCTGACCAACAGGACCAGGTTTACAGAGACCGAACAGAGATGAAGGAAGACCTGCTGAGAACTGGAGACCTCAGTCTGACCCTGAAATCCCCCACAGACAGAGACGGAGGACGATACAGGTGCAACGTCTACGACAAGAAGGAACACCATGAGAGAGAAACAGTTGATCTCAGGGTCAAAGGTCAGTATGCAGACTGAGGTCAGAGTCTCTGTGTTTGTCTCTGTCTGACTGTCCTCTGTCTCCTCTGCAGAGAGAAGCAGGAACAGAAGCAGCTCCGCTGATCCAACTCCTCTGATGGCCGATCAATCTGTTTGATCTTTGATCATTGATCCGATCTGACTCTGGATCAGAGAGAAAATGGAGGTGAAGCAGCTGATGGAGGACGGATGAAGACAGGAGGACGCTTTGTCAGCTTCTTCTTCACTCTGACTCCTCCTACTGACTCTCACACACAGTCTACACACTCACTATTGATTCCTGCTGATCAGTGATGTCAGAGTGAGGTCAGCGTGATGTCACATGGCTTGAACGGGCGTGTTTCCTGTGAACCTCCCAGCGGCTGGATAACAGCTGCGGCTCTCTGGATATTTGTGGCTCGTTCTAATGCGTGCAGTCAAACAAACTTTATTTCTACAGACACAGAGAAGTCAGCAGCTGCAGGAAATCAGAACCACTGACAGGAAGTTAAGAGTCAAGTTAAACCACATGTCAGAACTTTCTACAGCAGCAGGATTTAGAAGATGCTGGAAGCTGCTGTCTTTAGATTTTGGACCCGTCACAATTTGTCACATTTTCTGAAGCCACAACAAATCTTGTTGAAAGGAAACAGTTGATTGAAGGTCCAGTTTCAAACGAAGAGTCAAAGCTTCTCTTTGTGTCGACTCCTTTAATGAGAACATTGAAAAGGACTCGAGTCCAAGTCTCAAGTGTCCAGCTCAGATTATTCCAGCACCAACCCTGGCAGGATGCAAGTTAAACAGAAAGCAACACATTTAGTGACAGAACAGAAAGCAGCCAGCTGTTAAAATGGACTCAGAGAATGAAGACACAATAAGATTTGATTCAGTCAGACTTTCACAAGAACAAAGGTTTGTTCAGCCTGAACACAAATGTGGTCTGTAGTGTTTTTGTAGTCCCTGTTTATTCAGCGCCTCTTCCTCCTCACTACACACTGGATCAAAGCACAGCAGTTAAACCCAGAGGCCTCCAGTGGACCTGGTTCAGGCCTCTGAAACATCTGGACTCTGTGATCTTTGTCTTCCAGCGTTGACATTTGGAGCAGGTATAAACAGACGTCACGTGATCTAGTTTGTTTGAAGCGTACCGAGTCCTTCAGACGTTGATCTCAGAACTCAGCAGAAACTCCACTTCTTTAGTCTCTTTCCTCCAGGTTCTGGTTTTTCTCGTCTCTCTGTTCATTCCTCAAAGATAAAGCTGGATTTTTCATTGAAGCTGAAACATTTCAGTAAATATGCCAGATTTAGCCAGAAGGCTGTTTTTCATCTGTAGTCAGTACAAGTCAACACAAAACAGACAACATAGTAAAACCAACCCAGGGACCAGTAGACTCCAGCACAATATACTAGCAGTCATTATGTTCCAGTACACAGGTCATGAACTGTTACCAGAGGAAATCAGAAGCTTACAGTAATCTGTTGGACTCAAAGATGTTATGTTATTAAAGTGCTGTTTATGCACTCAGATCTAATTCAATAATCTGGTTTCCTGCAGCGGTTTGAAGCCAAAATAAACATTTTGCTGTGATTTCATTTCAATAAACTGATCAAAATGATGCTGATTTGTTGAACATATGAATTCCTGCTCTGTCAGGTCTGTCTTCAAGATGACAAGCAAACATCTTTTAAAACGCTTGTTTTCTAAATGGAGTTCTGCTCAGTCAGGGCGATGCTATGCTAACTTGTTTCAAGTACGACGACGGCTGGAATCATCTATCAGACACAGATTCATTTTCAGACCTCACCAGGTAGTTCAGCTTCCCGCCTCTCTTTTCTCCCAGCATCCTCCTGTCTCGTCTGTAGAAATATGAACTAGTGGTCCACGCGGTCCTTGTGGTCCGGACCGGTTGCCGAGGGGTCCGTTGCTGGTCCAAAGCCACTGCACACCTCCTCTGTATAATAAAAGCTTTATTTGTAGAGCACTTTTCAACACGGGGAACAAAGAGCTTTAAAACAATCCATCTGTCAATAAAGGAAAATAAATGAGGCGTCACACAGTGAAAGCTTTTTGTAGAAATGTGTCTAAGAAGTGAGATGAAACCAGGAGCAGACTCTGAGCCTGTAGGGGCCCTGACAGCAGAGACCCTGTCCCCTTTGGCTTTGAGCCTAGACTTTGGAGCAGTTAGCAGAGCCCTACTAGAGGATCTCAGTCTGCGTCCTGGCTCATATGGGGATAAAAGCTCAGAGAAGGTGCGTGCCCATGTCTGGCCTTAAAAGTGATCAGAAGGATTTTAAAGTGCGTCCTAAAAGAAACAGGAAGCAGGACGCTCACACTGGGCTGATGTGCTCACATTTTCTGCAGCGAGCGGCAGCATTTTGGACCAACTGTAGGTGATGAACTGATTTCTGACTCAGACAGGTATATAGGGAGGATATCGGTCTGCGGCTGAAATGAAAGACTTCACCTCGGCCGCATTTCTCAAATGATAAAAACAGAACAAGCTTACATGAGGTTCAAAACACAAGTCCTAGTTTCTGGCCGAGCTTCTTGTTCGCTTGGGTTTGTCCTGATTTCAGAAAGGAACGAACATCACAGAGGAAGACGCAGAGATGTTGATCCTCACAGGTACGTGAATCTAAACTATAACGTGGTTCATGCTGAACTTGAGCGCTCACTCTTTCTACACATCCTGGCAGAGAACGCTGGTGAGCTCCCAGCATCCTCTCCTGTACCTACTGAACGTGAGCGTTAAAGCGACGAGCGCCAAGAAATTTACTTTACGCAGCGCCTGGATTCACTTTCTTCTCGTCTCTGTTCATTCAGGATAAAGGAGGATTTTTTATTGAAGCTGAAACATTAAAACTTGAGCTGACATGTCTTCACCTCAGCTGGAGCCAATGTGACAGATGGAAATAATGTGTTTTACCAGTAAGTCACAGCAAGCATTTGAGTAAGCAAAATAGAAAAACAGTTAACGGGTTCATATTTAGTCATTTTAAAGCCATCCTCATATTTTAATGGTTTATCATATGTTATGGTTAAAGTTGTTATTGTAAGTTGCAGCAGTCACAGAACAGTATTTTACTGTTATTTCTTATTTTTCATGTGCAAAATGTCATTCTAACAACAGCAGCAGTCAGTGTGAACAAGAGTGTTGTAGTTACTAGAGGGCTCCAGCAGGGGGAGCGTGAAACTGTTGCGCTATGTTACGGTGCACCTCGCTCCCTCCCTTCAGTCATTACACACGTGATCTGAGGAAAGTTTCTGTCCGGAAGTCTTCATTCAGCTACTCCCCTTTATGGAACGCCAGCTAGCTCACAAACACGTGACGTTTGACACGTGGACAACATGTGGACAAAGTGCAAACAACGTGTGGTTGACGTGTTAATTTTTCACATGTTGTCAACCGCTATTAAACATGCTAAGGATCCTCTAATTTCTCTTTTTCTTCCTTTAGCATGCAGCCTATAAAAATGTAATATTTGGATTGCTGTTTAAGACTTAAAATAAATTAGTATTATTATAATAATATTATTAAAGTTATACATTGTTTTCATCAAGACAAATTGCCCCCTTTTGCTCATTTACTGCCTATTTTGATAAACACATCAGAGGGAATTCATGCTTTTTACACCATTCATCAACTTCAAAAAACATGAACAGTTGTGCGGGGGAAAATAACAGCAGTGGTACTCATTTGATGTTGGTGTAGGAAACAGACCATTGTAAAAAATACTGTATGTCTAAAACAACATGAAGCTTTTTCAGCATTTTAATGTAATTTAGGGCTTTGACCAGCAGGGGGCACATTGTGACTAATTATGGGGCTTGTTAAAACCTAAACGGACCTTGTTTAGATATTAGGCACACATATGTACACAGGTGATATTACCCTTTTTGATGAAATGTATAGCTTCCAAAGACTGTCGGGATTAGAATGAAAGTTTGTAATTAGGTCAGTAACTGATTTGACTTTCCTGACAGCAGATGTACACTACTGTGCCAAACTCCTAGGTCGTCCTCATCTTATTAAAGCCTAAAACCTGAGACGTGTTTAGCCAGTTACAGCCTATTATACATAATAAGTTAGATATAATAATGTGGTTCAACAGTTTTAATTGTGCGCAATATTGTGCAAATGGTCTGATGGCTCTTGTTAAATATCAGCAGACTCCTCATTGTTGGCAATAAAATCACGAGTGTGGCTATCCATAGCTGCTTTCAAACTGCATTAAACTCGCTGTATGAAAGGTACGAAGCGTGAAAGGGGGGTCTGATTTGATCCACCTCTGCGCCAGGAACATGGGTAGTAACAGAGACGGAACGATGTCTGTGTGAAAAGCCACAGCCGGCATGCTGGTGTTGTGTCTGTTGGTCTTTTTCTGTCACAGCGCTGGTTCCGCAAAAATCGCATCACTATGTGAAAGCATGGTTGCGGGATTATGCTGCACGCTTTTGAATGAGCAAAATCGGCATATTGGAGATACTGGGGAAATGAAAAATCATCATTTGTAGCTTAATGGATGCAGATCAAACACTGGAACACACACACACACTGCAGCACATGCTATGTTGTGAGCATGTGAAACAGTCACTTTATGACCAATTTGTGGAAGTGGGGGGGAAAATTCTCCCAATGTGATCAAACAACCTTCTAGGTGGGAGTCCTGCACTTTAGCAATTGAGCTAACTGAGCACCTGTCAGGATCGCTGGGAGGGCAGAGCAGGTGAGAGCCCAAATGCATGACACAGCGCTGAGATATAGTTCAAGGGTATTTAATCCAGGGCAAGTCAACACAGGCATGAACCAAACTCACGAGTACAAGGAAACCGGTACATCCAAAAACCCAGAACAGGTAATGCATCAACTCGCAGAACAAACGACAACCGACTGAGCAGACATGCGACCGTGAACAGAAACACCAGACATTTATACACAGGGACTAACAAGCAGGGCGGGAGCAACACAGGTGACTGGGATCAGGGTTAACGAGGCAGAGAGACAGAAGGGGAAACAGAGAGGCTGGATGGCAGGCAGATTACTGGAGGTGAGCAGACATTACACAAGTACTGAACACTGAACATATCAAGGTAAGAAGTAACAGATCAGAATAATAAAAATAACAAACTAACCCAGACACCATCAGAGATATCACCACTAAACTAACACCAACAAGGAACACAGACTGAAGATAAAACAGAACTCAGATCAGTCGTGGGCAAAGCACTACAGAAGTACACAGACCAGGAACCTGTTTCAGAAAGCAGGTTCAACAAACTCTGAGTGTAAACCTGAACTCTGGGTTGAAGAACAAGTTCACTGATCCAGTTACATTTAAATTGCCGTTTATAACATCCAATATGACTATTAAAAAAAGAAGACTGAGTTAGATCACTCATGTCATGAGTGTCATAGATTGCCCACCAGGTGGCGCTTTGCAGCTCCCCTGTTAACACTGCGTCACCACAAAAACCACAAAAGAAAACATCAGCTTCATTTATAGTGAAATGAAATCTCAAAGTTGCAAGTCCTGGTTGTAGACAGTCATGTAGTATTGGAGACATTCAAGAGCAGGTCACTGTATCGTAGACGGTGTGTTTTAGAGCCATATGGTTGAGAAATGGTTTCTTGTAGCTTTGGATAGAATTAAGAGTGCTGGTAAGGGGATAAAACTAGATGTGAATATGCTGCATTGAAAATGGTCAATATGTGTAAGGTAAAATACACATGCTGCTTCTGTTTACAGATGGCTGAAAAAGTTCCACCTTCTAGCAGCAAATATTTATTGATGAGCAGTTGTTTAAATGTTCAGTTGTTGAGACCGTAATCTATTTTATTAACATAATCCAATTAGGAAAAGGTTTTAGAAAACGGCCTGTTCTAAGTGTAGTTTATACCAGAAAGCGGTCTATTATCCAAATCCTTTTCAAAATCTAAATATCAGTTCTTTTTCACTTTAAAATCTGCATTGGCCCCCAAAAACCCATATCAGTCGGGCTCTAGTGTAAACATCCAGATCAAATAAACAATACGTGTTGTTTTTGTGTCTTTAGGATGCAGAAGAGGTCTCGAACTCTGGCCAAAACCTGGACCAAGATGATATGGGGCACCCATTTTAAGCTCTTTCTAGGCTTGTTGTATATTTCATAATGGCATATTGCATCTTTGGCCAACAAATGGGGTGTTCTGGTATTTTGAAGGATGAACAGGAGGTCCATACTTCACAAAACTGCCTGGAGAGACCTAATACAATGGCGAGGGATGTAAGTACAGTTATCAGCACTATCATTATCTAATTAACATTTTTTATCAAAATTATTACCCAACCAAAAGTAATTTCCTTTTGAAATGTTAAGACAAGCGATTGTTGCCATTGTAATGTAACAGTAAGCATGTTTTACAGCTCGAACGTGAATCTCATGACACAGAGAGAGTGGAAGTAGCAGATGATGATGCTGATGTAAGCTTTTGTCTTTACTAGGGACTGAATATAAAACTACTAATATAATGTTTTTACATTTTTAATGTTTCCTCTAGGATTTACATGAGTGGCGTGCACTTCACAAGACAAGATGAGGAATACATACAAAGTCTGCAAACTGAGCAGGAAAGGGTAAGCACACAGCAGTGTTTTATAAAATGTCCCCTCTTCGCCCAGGTAAAGTATGTTAAACACTTACGTTAGTGCAAGCTGTAGGCCTATATTTTGTAATGTTGTATTTAATGGTAATGTCTTTACTCAGGTGTTTGTGTTTTGTCAGGACACTCTGGTTCCTGAAGAGACCCCTCCTCAAAACATCTCATCTGGGTCCTCTGATACCACTGCTGGCTTCCTGGATTTGAGTCATGTCAAAGAAACTACCGAGTAAGTGCTAGTTTCATACTTCCATTAATGGATTAAATGAGTCGCGGCCATCAGGCCAATAAAGTGCTACATACACATTTTGAATGTTGCAAGTCCCACCTGAAAAAGGTTTCTGGTGGTTGTTGTTCTAGACCAGATCTGAAAACCTTACTGACAACTCTGGCATCAAAAGTCTGGATTGGAGAGACGCCCAGCAGTAATATGATCAATGTATGCAGAGAAAACATAATGGATGGTGCCATGCGAGCCTTTACAAGAAGGAGTTTCAATCCAGAGGCCAAATTAAGCGTCATATTTATGGATGACTTCATGCAAGCAGAAGGTTCAGTGGATGAGGGGGGCCCTACACGGGGGTTTTTCCGACTGCTCTCAGAGATAGCAGCCTATTTACAGGGCCACAGTAAGAACCTGTCCCTGGACAGCCACGGTTAGTACCCACACATGCCATTAATCTAAGTCATATTCTAACAAATTGATTGTATTCCTGGCGGATTAAGATTTTAGATTTGAGTTATAAACACCTTATTCTGCAGAGATTTGCCACCTGTTAACCACTGCAAAATGTATTGTTCTACATTTCCATTATGCAGCATTACACAGAGGTCTCTACAGAACCTATGGAGTTATGATGGCTGTGGCGCTGCTGCATGGAGGAGTGTTGCCTTCTTTTTCCGGAGAGGCTCTACCAAAACCTCTGCTCTACACCCACATTACCACCCGCTCTCAAAGAGGTAGCACATCCAGATTTGACTTATGTTTTGAGGAAAATGCTTGGGTGAGCTCACATCAATATTTATTGCTGGAAAAACAAACCTGCATGGTGCCACATACTGTTTAATAGAGCACTTGCTTCTGTTTGATTGGGCCCACTGGTTGACTGGTCACAATTTTGTTGTGCGACACTCCTGATTGACTTAACCTATGGAAATTGCTTGGTTCTCATCACTGGGGTGTGTTGGGCAGATGTGCTTTTTTAAATGTATTTTCCTTAACATGCTGTCGTATAAATCGTGTGTGTGAGACATGGTACCTTGCAGGACAAACATACACCTTCTAATCATTTTGGTTCTTTACAGACTTTCTGAAGGACTGAACACACTTGGTCTCCTGGACCTGATGAAAATTCACGCCAGCATCTTGAAGGAGGTGTTTTCTTCATCTGAGAGGCCTCTAAAGGCCACAGACTTGATCTCCCTGTTCCAAGTGACACTGTCCCCTCCTGGAAGCAACCGGTGGCGCCTGGAGAAGAGAGTGGAAGGGTACTGGAGAGACTTTCTTCTAGATGTGGAGGGTAAATAAAGGATTCACTCTTTTTGAGTGACTCTGACTTGCTGACACAAACCTGCAGATCATCAGATGTTAATTATTGTATTACCTCACTATTTTACAGATGGTGTGTTTGAGGTCACAATGGAGCAAATTTTGGTGTTTGCCTCTGGAGCCGACAGAGTACCCGCTCTTGGTTTTTCTCCTCACCCAACGCTGAACTTCATTCACGACGCAGGGCGGAAGTACCCTGAAGCTAACACCTGTCTTGTAAATTTGAAACTTCCTATCCATGACACTTACAGACAGTTCGCCAAGTTTATGTGCGATGGCATTATTCACGCTCCCACTTCTGGTCTGGCTTAAAGTCACTGACAGCTATTTTCATAATGGCTGAACTTTGAATGTCCTGCCTGCTAACGTTGTTCTCAGGTGATGATGTTAAGATGATTTGAGGTAATTGTCTACTGAGGTCTGTAGTTGTTGACCAGTGTGACACGTCCTAATTAAAAGCTCTGAATAATCAACCAAAGTAGATGAGGTTTGTTTCAGAACTTGAGCAATGCTGTTTGAAAGTGCATCTCTACTAATAAACTGCAGCCACGTCTCCCTATGCTGCCAGCAAGCTAACTGCTAGGTTGTAGGCCTGGTATTGTAGGAAATTGGAGATATTTTCCACGTGGCTAAGTAAATAACTGTTTATCACTAACTACGTTTTGTAATGTCACATGTTTAAGTTTAACGTTTCAGCGGACAGCTTTAGGACTGTAACACATTGGTGATTGAGTTTCTTGCCATTAACGTTATGACTTTTAATTATTATTTTTAGTTAACGTTATACCGGGAAGCAGATTTTTATTACTTGGTAGAAACCATCGACTGTAGAGTCCCAATTAAAGACAGGACAACATTTACTGTTAATACCATGAAACTGAGTGCCAGATTCCCCAACCGGCCAACCCCTTTTTCTTTCAACCTCTCTGGCATGCTCCCATTCGATACTGATATAACGTTACATTTTAATTATTTTTAGGCGATGGAACATTAACCTTACTGACTGTGTTTTTAAATAAGGAGCATCTGTGCTGGAGGGGTTTTCTGACTGCTAACTGTTAGCTGTGGTGGTGGGAGGCGGCTGGTCCGGTTTGAAACGGATCGCTGGAATGTATTTCCCCCCCACCCCTTCATAAGTCAACGTGTCGTGGAAAAACTTGTTAAGAGGGACATTGTATGAAGGGGACGTGAACAGGACGGGCAGCTTGTCTAGGAAGTTAGTAAATGCAGTAGCAGTTCTGGCATTAATAATGGAAGAGAAACTGCAGAAGTCCCAATGATGCGAAACTATGAAACTGTATTTTCTGTGAGATATGACACTAACTAGTTTTAATCTGGAGGTCACACGCACCCCCCCACCCATTCTGTAAAATCTCTTGCACCCAATATCGGTCAAATTAGAGCTAATATAAATCCGTGAATGTGCAAACTAGCCATACAGATATATGATGCTCTTGTACAACCTATAGGTGACTGTAACAATGTAGCTTCAGGTTCTACTCAGTCATGCTCCACTCACTTGTGCTCAATTGGATACAGATTGATGGGAATGTAATTAAGATTAGTTTGTCAAAAATGTCACATTTTTGTTCCTCAGACTAGAGACCCTTGAGAGGAGCATCAGATGGGCAAGAGGGAGGATTCTCCAGTTGGACGATGCAGATGAACTTCTTCCATTAGTGACTCAAGAAGGTGTTGACTTTTGCCTAGAGATTACGTCATGCATCATGGAAAGGCTTTCAAGTTTGGAGACGCTTAAAGGTGGAATTGTTTTCAACATGCGTAGTCCACAGCTTGTCGTCCTGACTTTAGATGGCTTGACTGACTGATCAGGAGGTCTGACCAGTGTGATTGTTAGTGTCTGTGATTGTACAGGTGCTTAGAAGCTATAAAAAATGACTTGACCTCAAAATAAATACCAAAGCGAAATAAGTGTGTGAGCGTGTGGTAGTAAAACTAAAACTGCTTGCCTTCTGAACTACTTACACACTGTGTTGACTTATTCATCTTAATTCATAACTAAAGGACTGCCTTTGTAGATATCTTTAACAAACAAGTACAAAAATGCTCCCAATACATATTGGCCAGGGGCTCATTACATGCCATGTTTTCAACAGTCTCTTGTAATGTGTGAGAGCCACAGGCAGTACTTCATCTCAGGCTGATCTAAATCCTGACTCTGTCCTCTACCACTTCCCTAACCATTTATAATCAAAACACTAGTGGGGTGCAGTGTACAGCTTGGACAGATAACATTACACTGTTGTGGAGGTTGACTTCAGGGAATAAAGTAAGATTATAAGATTATTGTATTGTAATGTCCTCATCATATTGTATTTTCTTTTTTCTTTCATTACTGTTTTAATGTTTTATTTCTTTAAAAGCCCTTCTAGGGACGGGTGTTAAACACTATGGTACACACACCGGATTCCTTTATTTAGTTTATCTATGTTAGATGTATTGGTCCCTAATAAAAATAAACTGGAAAAAACAAAAATAAGACGGCTGGTCGTACCCAACCACTCGAGGGTAAGAATACCAGCGTAAGCCAATCAGGCAGCCAGCTCACCTGTGGAACAAAGAAGTCGGCTGGCCTCATCCCTCATCTGTGTGCATGATATGCAAGTTTCCTTGCACCTTTAGCAGCAAAGCAGTGGTAACTTATTACTTCATTCCTATGTTTAGACAGAAATTGTATTTGAAGGTAAACTACATTAAATGTAGAGGGTTTTTCCACAGGCTAAAAACACCAGGGTAATACACCGCCATCAACATCTCATCTCTATCCCTGCACCTGCACAACTTCACCTGTATGAGTGTAATCAAATATAGCTCTAATCATGAGAGAATGCTGCGTCCTGTCTGCTGTGTCGATTTTAAATGAGCCTTATAAAACAATAATTTGATAATAGTGGCTGACAGGCATGCATATTGGTTCATATCTGGTCATGTATTCTGTTTTGGCAGCATTAGAGACCTCCGGGTATCAAGCCCCATTGGTCCGGACAGGTGATTTTGGACGATCCAGCTACCTAATCACTGAAGAACACCTGAGATTCCTGCTTTCATGTGGATTTGGAACTATGCAAATTGCTGAAATCCTGGATGTATCAGTCAGTACAGTTAAACGAAGATTGAGGTATGAACAACAGTTACAAGGCGTACACAAAATATTGTGTTCTTTTGTCAATTTATTCACTAGATTTTTGTTTTCTATCTTACTATATGTTCAGTGAAATGGGTAGACTTCTCAAGCTGGCAGTGGGTAAAGTGGAATAAGCTAAAGTTCAGTATCGTAATGTAATGCATATAGGTCAGACATTAAATTTGGGTGACACACTTGGTCATTCTGAGCATGAAAACCAATGGCCATGTTCTTTACACTCCAAACCAATAGTTTGGTTTAGTTTATTATTGAGGAAACGTGTTTATTTTTTTCTTCAAGGTGTAGTTGTTACTGAAGCTGCTATTATTATTGATGCTGTTATCTTTATCAGAAGTTTGTGTAAGATGGTCACGTTCAGTAAAATGCAAATACACTCAGATTGAAATTGAGTTCTGTTCTCTCCCAGGCGCTTCAACTTGCCCTACCTGATGAGGTCTGCACGTCTTTCTAATGCAGAACTTGATGAAGTCAAGTCAAGCTGCAGTCGGTTGGAGAAAATGAAGAGATGGGAGCAAATGCTGTTTTGGCCAGACTGGCTGCTATGGCTGTTTGAGTGCAGAGGAGAAGAGTGAGAGAGAGTTTGATTGGAGTGAATCCAGAGCGTTGTCTCACCGACTGCACCGGAGAACCTACAGTGCTGCAGGACCCAACTCGCTGTGGCACATAGATGGGAACCACAAACTCATCAGGTATATGCGGATGATAAATTAGTTACAGTGAGACTAAACACTCAACTAACAGAATCATTTACAGGCCTCTTCAGTGCAAGCTTTTCACTTTAAGAGTGAATATTCTGCGGGAAACACTGCATTATGTACAAAATTGCACTTTGACTGCACCCCTATATTTTTGGCAGGGGTAAGCATAGTATCCTGAATTTATTAATGTAATCTTAACACAGAATAACAGCTTTTTGTTTCGTTTGTAGATGGAGAATAGTGATCCATGGCGGAATCTGTGGCTTCAGCAGGCCGGTTGTGTTTTTGCAGGCTTCAGATAATAACAGAAGTTGCACAGTGTTTGACCAGTTTGTTCAAGCCACTGCTAGGTATGGAGTCTCGAATAAGGTGTGACCATGGGGGAGAAAACAATGCTGTCTGCTTGTTCATGAACATTTACCGTGGATTAGAAAGAGGAAGTGCCATCCGGGGCAGAAGTGTCCATAACCAGCGGATGGAGAGGCTTTGGGGAGATCTCTGGAGAGGTATGACTAATGTGGACCACCAGCTTTTCACCTTCCTTGAAAATGAAAGAATCATTGACTGTACCAATGAGCTGCACTTGTGGCCGCTGCATTATGTTTACCTGCCACGGATTAACCGGGACCTGGAGGTTTTCAGGCAACAACGGAACAACCGTGGCTCGCGCCCTGTTGGCCTCGCCATATCAGATATTTGTCCAAGGACGTCTTCAGAGGCAAACACAACCGCTCACAGCCATGGCAGAGATTTTTGGATCCGACACTGCTCAACAAGGGGCTGCGGCTGCAGTTCCTGTTCTGAATTGGCAAGAAAGAGTAACAGTTCCTGCTAACCGATTCGGTCCAAGCCGTGCACAGACGCGACAAGTCCAGGATGTGGACACTCTGGCGGGACCGATCGGTAGTCTAGCCATAGATAATGTTTTGGCCATGCCTCTGTATTGTTCCCTTGTTGTTTCCCAGTTAGTCTCTCCGTGTCAGCTAGAGGAGATACCGGTAGACCAGACCGCTCACCTGCTGTGGAGGGGGGAGTAATTGACCAGTTCAGCTTCAGTCTTCTTTACCCTCCTCTTGGCTCTCTTCTCCGCCTTGCATACACCCATTTATAATAACAGTGGCATTTATGCTCTTACAATCCCAACTGTTCTTCTTTTTGATGACAGTATATTTCTCTCTGTGTCTCAGGATTATACAACAGTTTCTTGCCAGTCTCTTTGCCAACTCTGGATTCCCTAGCTTACCTCCCCTCTCAAGGTAAGATTACATTATAATAGCTTCACAGTGTAAGGTCTAGTGGCAGTGTAAGCATTGTTTCTAATTAACATGTGGTGTGTGTCTCTCTCAGGACGGTATCCTGCACTCTAATCCAGGGGATAATGAATCCCTGAGGAATGAGAGGGTTAGATGCCGTGATAAAACTTTATGTCCCTGCCACCTTTTCATTTCTTTGCAGCTCACAGATGTGTTTTTGTCAGTGTAGTTACTGGGTCAGTTGCAGAACACAGGCCCTCCTCCAGCTGATAGAGAAGATCTCTCCTCTCCCATCTGTCAGTATGAAATGTGAATGGCTGCAAGACAAAATGGATAAACTGACAGCACGTGTGTCTGATTGCAGGTTTAGAGACAAAAGTGAGTGGAGCTAACTTTACGTCCTATAAATGTAGCTACATAGCATTATTAGTGACTCCTGTTGCTGCTATTTTTATTTCTGATGCTGCTGCTATTAGTATAGATGCAGATACATGTTGAACTACGCACTTTACAATGCTCCAACCACACCATGTTCACTCCGCCTTTTACTGCCACACTGACAGCTTATTGCTCGTATTTTCCTCTGCTCCTCTTGCTTTCACATTCGCTTGTCATTTTCTGCTGCCTGTCACGTAGGTGTCCTTTGCAGAATGAGGAGAGGGAGCCAACTGTTAAATGTTACCGTGCTCACACTGTGCGAGTGAAAATCATTAGTTGCTTTTTATATACAGTCTGTTAGTTGCACATTGATAATAATAACCCTGTGAAGTATCGATTTATGTACTTATTTTCCCCACCCCTAGTAACCACAGGGGTCTTGATAAACATTTCTTTTCTCCTGTAGACTGCTGTGTGCAGTGTCCAGTGCACAGAGAGAACTTCGCAGTGGGAGAGCCATTCAGACAGCTGCCCTGTAACCACTTCTTTCATTCAGAATGGATAGTACCATGGCTGGAACTGGTGAGTCATAACAAAGAGAGTTGAGCTTTTGTAAAATAAACTCACAAAACAGATCCTTAATGGCATTTAATAGTTGATATGATATTCACAGTGCTCATTCAGGCATTAGGACCTAAAGGAATTTAGAACATGCTACCTGGTAGAAACATTTATGTGGGGTCGACTAAAAATAAACATTTCCTATTGTTTATTGTAATGAAGGAACAGTGTTTCCCAGTGCAAATACTTGACAAATTAATGTGTTCTAGGAGAGGAATGGAGGTTAATGGCACTTACAGTAACAAACAATAAGCACGTATATATATCATTTTGCCAGCTTTACCTTTAGAATTGCCTTAAAGGAATGTGAAATTACAATCAACTAAACATTATTAGATGCTAAATGCAGAATTAGTTCACCCATGTTGAAGTTGCCCTACTATACCAGTCATTTAACATTAGCAGTGTGGGATTTTGCTGAGGTATATTTGACTTACCAGACAAAGGTCACAGAACAGCCTGAGCATCGTGTGCAATAGGACTTAAATAAGGAGTCCACTAGTTATAACTCCCCATCAGAGTATCCACCCTCTACATGGACGCCGCAAACAGGAGAGATGGTCCTTCTGAGACACCTACCTTTCTCATCCCTCGTTCTCCTCGCCAAGACACAGCGCTTGTCACGTTCTCTTTGCTATCTGTGGCAGTTATAATCATCTCAGTCTGATATTTCTTTGTATTTTTGTTTAATTTATTTAATGCCTTTCTGCACCATGTAAACAGAAACCCGTACAGACGTCCTAACAGTCGATTGAGTTCAACCCCGTGTCTTCTCTACTTGCACCTCTCAAGCAACTCCATCTGCCTTGAAATGCACCGCTGCAATACGCTATTGTGGAGAAATGCCAGACTTGATATGATACCGTGTCCTCTTTACACATCAGAAAATGTGCTAAATCCTGCAGCTGAGCCCTCAGTGGCATATGGGATGGCTGTAGGGGTTACTTTCACTCTTGGCATTTACAGGCTTTGGACCTAATGTAGCCCTGCAATAAATGTTGTGTTTTTGAAGGATATAATGATATTTTTTTGTTGAGATTAGGCAGGAAGATATTGATCTCTGGTTATTCTGCTGCTGTTTTATTGGATTGCATTATAAACCCATGGGCCAATGACGGGCAATTGATGGGGTATCTTTGAAATAAAAACCTTTCTCGTGGTTGTCTAGCTCTGTGGGTGTTTTTGATGTAGAGTCAGATGCAGATGGAAACATTGTAACGTTTCTGTTAATGAAATGACTTCAGTAGGCAGTTTAAATGGTATTCACACTGCTTTCTTGTTGCTGTATGATATATCCAGCTATATCAATTAAGACTTGGTCGATAATTAATCTTAAATGATGTTAGTTTCCCACCCCGAGCACCTGGTTAAAATCAGGACATTGTCATTATTTTACCATTTCATCAGGATTAAGGGTATAGGCTAGTCTATTATGCCCCCTGCTGGTCATAACTCTACATTCAATGAAAGAGGAAAGTTTCATGTTATTCCAATGGTCTGTATCCTAAACCAACATTTAGTGAGTACCACTGTTGTAACTGTGCAGCCACACAATTGTTGATGTAATGATATAAAACTAAAGATTGTTTTTATTGAAAGAGGCAGTAGTGGAGCAAAAGGAGGCCATTTATCTTAAATGATTTATAACGTTACAATTTAATGTCATAAAACCGCAATCCAGCTATTACATTTTATAGGTTACACACAAAAGGAAGAAAAGGACCAAGAAATAATAGGTATGTTAAATAGTGGGAGGCAAACCCCCCAGGCTTACAGAAATGGTTTAACCCTACTACTCTGCAGCCAATGGAAAAGTACAACACTCACCCCTTCAAACTGGGTAACTGGCCAAATGGCTCAGAATCGCAGGAAATCAACACGTTGACAGCACGTTATCAACACGTTATCAACACGTTATCAACATGTTAACATGTTATCAACAAGTTATCAACATGTTGACAGCACGTTATCAACAAGTTATCAACATGTTATCAACACGTTATCAACACGTTATCAACAAGTTATCAACATGTTGATAACTTGTTATCAACATGTTATCAACACGTTATCAACAAGTTATCAACAAGTTATCAACACGTTATCAACAAGTTATCAACATGTTATCAATTCGTTATCAACATGTTATCAGCATGTTATCAACACGTTATCAATACGTTATCAACAAGTTATCAACATGTTATCAATACGTTATCAACATGTTATCAACATGTTATCAACACGTTATCAACACGTTATCAACAAGTTATCAACAAGTTATCAACACGTTATCAACAAGTTATCAACAAGTTATCAACACGTTATCAACAAGTTATCAACAAGTTATCAACAAGTTATCAACATGTTATCAACACGTTATCAACAAGTTATCAACACGTTATCAACACGTTATCAACAAGTTATCAACAAGTTATCAACACGTTATCAACAAGTTATCAACAAGTTATCAACAAGTTATCAACATGTTATCAACAAGTTATCAACATGTTATCAACATGTTATCAACAAGTTATCAACAAGTTATCAACACGTTATCAACAAGTTATCAACACGTTATCAACACGTTATCAACACGTTATCAACATGTTATCAACATGTTATCAACATGTTATCAACACGTTATCAACAAGTTATCAACAAGTTATCAACACGTTATCAACACGTTATCAACAAGTTATCAACATGTTATCAACACGTAGTCAATGTGTTGTTAACGTGTTGTTAACATGTTGATAACGCGTGAAAAATTAACAGCTTGACAACAAGTCAACCACACGTTGTTTGCACTTTGTCCACATGTTGTCCAAAAAATCCTCCTTTATCCTGAATGAACAGAGACGAGAAGAAAGTGAATCCAGGCGCTGCGTAAAGTAAATTTCTTGGCGCTCGTCGCTTTAACGCTCACGTTCAGTAGGTACAGGAGAGGATGCTGGGAGCTCACCAGCGTTCTCTGCCAGGATGTGTAGAAAGAGTGAGCGCTCAAGTTCAGCATGAACCACGTTATAGTTTAGATTCACGTACCTGTGAGGATCAACATCTCTGCGTCTTCCTCTGTGATGTTCGTTCCTTTCTGAAATCAGGACAAACCCAAGCGAACAAGAAGCTCGGCCAGAAACTAGGACTTGTGTTTTGAACCTCATGTAAGCTTGTTCTGTTTTTATCATTTGAGAAATGCGGCCGAGGTGAAGTCTTTCATTTCAGCCGCAGACCGATATCCTCCCTATATACCTGTCTGAGTCAGAAATCAGTTCATCACCTACAGTTGGTCCAAAATGCTGCCGCTCGCTGCAGAAAATGTGAGCACATCAGCCCAGTGTGAGCGTCCTGCTTCCTGTTTCTTTTAGGACGCACTTTAAAATCCTTCTGATCACTTTTAAGGCCAGACATGGGCACGCACCTTCTCTGAGCTTTTATCCCCATATGAGCCAGGACGCAGACTGAGATCCTCTAGTAGGGCTCTGCTAACTGCTCCAAAGTCTAGGCTCAAAGCCAAAGGGGACAGGGCCTCTGCTGTCAGGGCCCCTACAGGCTCAGAGTCTGCTCCTGGTTTCATCTCACTTCTTAGACACATTTCTACCCAAAACTTTCACTGTGTGACGCCTCATTTATTTTCCTTTATTGGCAGATGGATTGTTTTAAAGCTCTTTGTTCCCCGTGTTGAAAAGTGCTCTACAAATAAAGCTTTTATTATACAGAGGAGGTGTGCAGTGGCTTTGGACCAGCAACGGACCCCTCGGCAACCGGTCCGGACCACAAGGACCGCGTGGACCACTAGTTCATATTTCTACAGACGAGACAGGAGGATGCTGGGAGAAAAGAGAGGCGGGAAGCTGAACTACCTGGTGAGGTCTGAAAATGAATCTGTGTCTGATAGATGATTCCAGCCGTCGTCGTACTTGAAACAAGTTAGCATAGCATCGCCCTGACTGAGCAGAACTCCATTTAGAAAACAAGCGTTTTAAAAGATGTTTGCTTGTCATCTTGAAGACAGACCTGACAGAGCAGGAATTCATATGTTCAACAAATCAGCATCATTTTGATCAGTTTATTGAAATGAAATCACAGCAAAATGTTTATTTTGGCTTCAAACCGCTGCAGGAAACCAGATTATTGAATTAGATCTGAGTGCATAAACAGCACTTTAATAACATAACATCTTTGAGTCCAACAGATTACTGTAAGCTTCTGATTTCCTCTGGTAACAGTTCATGACCTGTGTACTGGAACATAATGACTGCTAGTATATTGTGCTGGAGTCTACTGGTCCCTGGGTTGGTTTTACTATGTTGTCTGTTTTGTGTTGACTTGTACTGACTACAGATGAAAAACAGCCTTCTGGCTAAATCTGGCATATTTACTGAAATGTTTCAGCTTCAATGAAAAATCCAGCTTTATCTTTGAGGAATGAACAGAGAGACGAGAAAAACCAGAACCTGGAGGAAAGAGACTAAAGAAGTGGAGTTTCTGCTGAGTTCTGAGATCAACGTCTGAAGGACTCGGTACGCTTCAAACAAACTAGATCACGTGACGTCTGTTTATACCTGCTCCAAATGTCAACGCTGGAAGACAAAGATCACAGAGTCCAGATGTTTCAGAGGCCTGAACCAGGTCCACTGGAGGCCTCTGGGTTTAACTGCTGTGCTTTGATCCAGTGTGTAGTGAGGAGGAAGAGGCGCTGAATAAACAGGGACTACAAAAACACTACAGACCACATTTGTGTTCAGGCTGAACAAACCTTTGTTCTTGTGAAAGTCTGACTGAATCAAATCTTATTGTGTCTTCATTCTCTGAGTCCATTTTAACAGCTGGCTGCTTTCTGTTCTGTCACTAAATGTGTTGCTTTCTGTTTAACTTGCATCCTGCCAGGGTTGGTGCTGGAATAATCTGAGCTGGACACTTGAGACTTGGACTCGAGTCCTTTTCAATGTTCTCATTAAAGGAGTCGACACAAAGAGAAGCTTTGACTCTTCGTTTGAAACTGGACCTTCAATCAACTGTTTCCTTTCAACAAGATTTGTTGTGGCTTCAGAAAATGTGACAAATTGTGACGGGTCCAAAATCTAAAGACAGCAGCTTCCAGCATCTTCTAAATCCTGCTGCTGTAGAAAGTTCTGACATGTGGTTTAACTTGACTCTTAACTTCCTGTCAGTGGTTCTGATTTCCTGCAGCTGCTGACTTCTCTGTGTCTGTAGAAATAAAGTTTGTTTGACTGCACGCATTAGAACGAGCCACAAATATCCAGAGAGCCGCAGCTGTTATCCAGCCGCTGGGAGGTTCACAGGAAACACGCCCGTTCAAGCCATGTGACATCACGCTGACCTCACTCTGACATCACTGATCAGCAGGAATCAATAGTGAGTGTGTAGACTGTGTGTGAGAGTCAGTAGGAGGAGTCAGAGTGAAGAGGAAGCTGACAAAGCGTCCTCCTGTCTTCATCCGTCCTCCATCAGCTGCTTCACCTCCATTTTCTCTCTGATCCAGAGTCAGATCGGATCAATGATCAAAGATCAAACAGTTGATCGGCCATCAGAGGAGTTGGATCAGTGGAGCTGCTTCTGTTCCTGCTTCTCTCTGCAGAGGAGACAGAGGACAGTCAGACAGAGACAAACACAGAGACTCTGACCTCAGTCTGCATACTGACCTTTGACCCTGAGATCAACTGATTTCCATCTCATGAGGACTCCCTTCTTGTCGTAGACTTTGCACCAGTATGTTCCTCCGTCTCTGTCTGTGGGGGATTTCAGGGTCAGACTGAGGTCTCCAGTTCTCAGCAGGTCTTCCTTCATCTCTGTTCGGTCTCTGTAAACCTGGTCCTGTTGGTCAGGCTGGTCAGAGCCGTTCTGATACATGTGGACCTTCTCATAGGGATCATAGTGGATCCACTCCACTCTGACGTCCTCAGGCAGGTTCTCTGTGGTCTTGCAGGGCAGCAGGACAGACTCCGCCCCCTCCTCCACCTCCACCTGACAGACTGAGAGGACAACAAAGCAGAACATGAGCTGCACAGACAGCAGCAGCAGTTTGAATAACTTTATTGACAGAAGCAGATGAGAGCAGCAGCTAACAGGGGACAGAAACACAGGAAGCTGTTGGAGATGATCAGAGTCTTGATGCTGCTGGGATTGTTTTGTCCATGTGCTGCTTCACAGTAATGTCTCCTGTCAGTGTTGAGCTGCTGGACTTTTACATTTCTGGATCTAAAGCTGAACTTTGAAGAGAAGAAGCTTTCAAATGTTTTCATCTCTGTTCTGTAAATGAATCTCAGCTCCACATGTTCAACATCAGTCCAGAACACCGAGACACACAAACATCTGATCTGGATCTGATCCCAAACTGCTCTTCCTGCTTCATCAATATTTGGCCTTTTCTTCTGCCGACTCTGAGCCCACTTTTCTTTCCAAACGGCTTCAACATGATGTGAAGAGAACTGATCATCAATCTTTCATTGATCCAAACTATTAAAGCTGCATTTCTTTGTTCTGAGTGATCAACACATTTGGTTTCTTTCAGCTTTCTTCTTGATCAATACTGGAAATCAATAACTTATTGATCTCATTCTTTCCATCCATGGAAATGATCTCCTGGATTATTCTGGTTTCCTGTTATGACGTCATTTCTGATCACCTGCTGAGCATTTTTACACTGAAATATTGGTCCTTTTATTTTTTAAAGTTACTTTGCTGGGCGCTGGATAAAAAAGCCAAAGCTGCAGGTTGCAAAGAGGTTGGAGAGTTTCTGACTGCATCAGTAATAATTTACAACACATTTGTCTGTCCTCCCCAACATCAGCTGCTCTCACTATCTCTGATATCTCTATATTTTTCAGATATTGTGCTACAGCTTTCTGTGTGTCCTTTACTCCGTCTCCTGTTGGGCCTAATAAACCTTCAAGGTTCACTTCCTTCCTGCCTGACTCATCTTTTGATTCAGCCTCATCCTCTCATCCCTGTATTTCCTACGTCTGATGGACTTTTGCCCATTAAAACAATGTTTTATTTAAGCCTGTATGATCAAACCTCAGCCTGGTTAAAACGCTCTCCTCTCTTCTGTTCCCTGAGCATTAATAGATTTTTACAAGCTGTAATATTTCCTTCCACTTTTATCCACATCCCAGCCGTCCTGCCATTTCTTCATGGTTTCTTTTCTGATTATCGCCTCAGCTTCTCCTTTTCCAAGGGCTGTATTTATGACATCGTTCGTCCCACTTTTTCATTTGGCTGCTTTCCCAACTTTCATTCATAATCCTTTTTGTAGGACGTGTGTCCTTCTGACTTTGTAAATTAGCCCAATAATTGGCCCTCAGCTGTTTCCTTCTTAGAATCAGTGGCATTTCTCCAACCTCCAGCTGAAGCGCTGATATTGGTGTTGACTTTACTGCTGCACAGCATAACCTCAATGATGGGCCTGAATTTTATCCAACCTTTTTAAAGATGTTCTAGCAGCTGATCCAGAAACAATACATCCATATTCTAGGACTGATCTAACTAATGCAATATAAATATTTCTTAGCAAACACTGCCTGTTAAACATCTCATAATATTCAGGACTTTCTTACACTTATCTTCCACCTCATCAAAATGATTTTTCCACATAAGCAATATATCAAACCACAACCGCAGGAATTTAAAGGTTTCCACTCTTTCTAACCTTTGATTGGACAATTTCAAACAAATATCTTCTTTGACTTCCTTTCTTTTAAAAAGATGGTTTGATTAAACTTAAATCTCCAATTCAAAGACCAATCTTCAACCACACTAACAGCTTCCTGAACTTTCTTTACAACATACTCCAGATTCCTCCCTCGTTTCCAAATTGCCCCATCATCAGCAGAAAGTGATTTCCCAATGTCTGGATGAACCTTCTTATAAACATCATTGATCATGATTGAAAACAGTAGCGGACTAATGACGCTCCCCTGAGCGCTGCCGTTTTCAACTAAAAATGCATCTGATGTAGAGTTCCCCACACGAACCTGAATGTAGCTACCAGATAAGAAACCTTTGATGCAGTTCTACATTTTACCTCCAATACCCATTTTATCTCGCTGTATTAAAAGACCTCCTGCGCCTTCTCTATATCAAAGAAAACAGCTAGCACCCCCTCTTTATTAGCTTGAGCTTTCCTAACATCAGTTTCCAAACATATTAAAGGGTCCAGAGTACTACGCCCCCTTCTAAATCCACTCTGAAGTGCTGAAAGAAGCTCATTTCTTTCTAAGTAGTATGTTATTCTTTCTGGAATCATTTTCTCCATGGTTTTACACACGTGAAGTTAAAGCTGTCGGTCTGTAATGATCAGGATCTGTAGGATCTTTCCCAGGTTTCTTAATCTGAATAATAATTGCTTCTTTCCACCCTACTGGAAGCTTCCCCTCCTCCCAAACCTTGTTCAATAACTCCAGTACTTTACCCAATGCAGAAGCATTTAAATGTTCTATCATAGTAAAGCTCATATTGTCTTTAGCAGGTGTCGTTCTTTTACTCTTACTCAGAGCCCTCCTCAGCTCAGGCACGGTAAAGACCTCATCTAGAGGACTCTGATTAGAGTTTCTGTTCTCGAGTACCTCCGGGTATCTAGCTAATGTTTGCTGTCTTCTGATTTTACCTTCTTCTGTCAAATTATCTGAACTATGAATGTTTCTTGAATACAGATAACGTCAGGCTTTACATTTAACTGTTGCACATTTCTCTTAAATTCTTGTGCGTTTGCAATCAGGCTTCTGGCGTTCCACTGAAGGATAAGGAAACCCTTTATGAACTTAGTCACTAAACTGAGATGTTCCGTCATTCGGTGCTGACATTTCATGTAACATGTCTGCAGTCATCTCCGTGATCCCCAAATAATCTTTTGCTGCCTCAACAATAGTCCTCAGCCTGGACCTTTTCTTTGTCTGCTGCAGCGCTACGTTCACTACCAAACCTATGAAAGCTACAAATGGAAACTTCTCCACTATCAGAGCATCGTCTTTAACTGCACACTTATGTGAACACTTTATGGCACTCGTGTTCTGCGTCTGTGGTAGTTTAGGGAAGTCCTTTGCTGAGAATCTGCTGTCACTATCAATGAGACTTGTTTTGCTGCTTCAGCGTATGATACTTTATTTTGTATCTCTGAATATCTTTTGCTCTTTTTTGAACTCCTCATCCCTGGTAAGCAGCACTATGTTCCCCCCACAGTTACAACATTTAGTTTTAGTGACTACTGCGCAGCGGCCATATTCATGTTCTCCAGCACACCCTTAGATTTACACTGATCTGCCACATGTCCGATTCTCTGACATTTAAAGCAACGTAACGGCTGAGGTACCAACTCCCTCACATTAAAGCTCATGCAGCCAATCATTACTTTCTGAGGCACGTCTCCCTCAAACTGCAGTAGGACAGACTATCAACTAATTTCCCCTGATATCTAGTAGGAAGACGCTTCACTGCCGTGACTCTGTCTCCTTTCATTTCTTTCTTCATTTCTTCAATAGCAATATCTAATGGAACTCCACTGATCGCTCCTCTAACCTTACGATTAGCCCCAGGAACGGGACTTTTAATTTGAACTTCATTCAAGGTCTTCATCTTCAGTATCTGTTGAACTCTACTGACTGCTTCAATCAACATCTTCCCTTTACTCAGAAATCTTGCTTGTCTAATGTGTCCGATCTCTTTGGAAGTTTCACTGGATGTAGTTTACTACCAGAAACTTCTCTGAACTCCATCTCCACTTTCCTCTCTCCCGTCCCGTTTGTTTTCCTCTCTTTTTTCAGTTGGTTCTGTTGTTCCGACTCACTGTGACTGGACACAGAGTTCTTCCTTCTTGGTCTCTTCCATGTTACCTCCTGCCGTTCTCCTCGCTCACCATCCCGTTCACTCGCCATACTCTCAACATTTTCAAACATTTCCACTCCCGGGCTCAAAGACGCCATCCTCCTTCTGCCGCTCTCCTCCTTTCCTGACCTTGATTTCCCATCATGCACTCCTCCAACCAATGACAGCCCACTATTAGACTCCAGCTCAATTAGCACAGTTTTACCAGTTGAACATAAAAATGCTGTTTTTAACTCAACATTATCGTGTTAGAGTTATTTATCATACAACATATAACAGTTTTTAATAAAATACATCTCCATGTTTTTACCTTGTTCATCAACATGAAATGACTTTTAATCTCAGATGAACTTCTAATGAACTCTTTTAGACTCTACTGTTTATACTGGGTTACGCTCCAGTTAAGGTTAATGATAATATTATAATCATACCGCTATCATAAAGTGAGACTGTCACCTGCTGCTGCTGATCGCTCAGAGTCCAACAGCGCAGCAGAAGCTATTTGACATTGTTTATGTAGCTAGCATAGTTTACTGATGCAGCTGCAGCTTCGGCTAACTGTCCTAATGGCTGACTAGCTGATGTTATTTTGTCAGCCTGGCGTTGGCCCTCACTGCTGTGGGTAACCTAGGTCCCTATGTATCATTATAAAATATTAAGGTGGCTTCCCTTGATACAGATGCAGCTGTATGATAAGGCCTATTATTCACCACCTGTAGCATGTTGCTAATATGAACACTTGTGTATTAAGTAAATCCATGCCGTGCATTCATTTAACAAACAGAATATTTCCCAGTCAGTTATTGTTGAAACAGTTTTGGCATTAATAATGTAATGATATCTACAGTGGGGAGAACAATATTTGATACACTGCTGATTTTTCAGGTTTTCCTGCTTCCAAAGCATGTAGAGGTCTGTTATTTTTATCATAGCTACACTTCAACTGTGAGAGACGCAATCTAAAACAAAAATCCAGAAAATCACATTGTATGATTTTTAAATGATTCATTTGCATTTTATTGCATGACATAATATGATAAAAATGACAGACCTCCACATGCTTTGTAAGTAGGAACATCAGCAGCGTATCAAATACGTTTGCACTGTACTTAGAATAACTGTGTAAGTAGTAAAACAATAGAAACACACACAGGGCAGTAAAAGTGTGTTTTAAGTTTCGAAACATTTTGAGTCCCCCTCTCTTGCCTCACAGTGGTTTGGTCCTCTGCCTGCTTTCCCTCTCAGGAGTCCGGTGGCAGAAAACCAGTTTGATCCTTCAGTAGTTGTGAAACTGCAGTAATGTTAAGCAGACTGGCTGTTTTATTCACTTTAAACATCAGATGAACTCATTCTTTAGTCTTTAATACAGATGATGCTGAGTCATTAAGAAATTAATCCTGATAACTGATCATTTTTCCACGAGCCCACGATGTTATAACATCAGCTAGCTTGTTTACCAGCTTGTTGGACTGTAAGTCACCTTCTACAGCTAGAGATGTGCAGATTGATCAGCTGGGGACTGAAACAGGCCATTTTGTTTTCGCTTCCCTGACCAGTAACTGGGGCCGAGCAGCTGCACTGTGTCGTGTTTCATGTGTTTGCACAGACAGTAACCTCATGTCACAGCCACACACAAAGTTCTTCACTAGAGTGAAGGAGACGCAACGCTCACTATTTAGGCTACAGCACTGACCTTTGACCTGCAGCAGGACTTGTTTCTTCATCAGGATGTCTCTCTCCCTGCTGTAGACGGTGCAGGTGTAGGTGTTACTGTTGTAGTTTGTGGGGTATTTCAGGGTCAGACTGAGGTCTCCAGGTCTCTGCAGGTTTCTCTTCATCTCTGTTCGGTCTCTGTAACGAATGTTCTGTTCTTCAGGCTGGTCAGAGCCATTCTTATATACGTGGACCTTCATGTTGTGTCCGTCCCTCCACTCCACTGTGACGTCTTCAGGCAGGTGAACTGTGGTTTTGCAGGGCAGCAGGACAGACTTCACCTCTGAATCCACCTCCACCTTGTAGACTGAGAGGACAACAAAGCACAACATCAGCTGTACAGACAGCAGCAGGAACTCTGAAATATGTCCCATTGTTCCATCTAACAGAGACAGTGTTGTCTTTGGTGTCTCTACAATCAACAGCACAACTGACTGTTTATTAAATCACTGAGTATTATTGTCAGATGGACTCAATCAAATCTTTATTAAAGTTAGAATCTGAAGGTTTTCATTAAATAAATGTCTGTTCAGTCACTGTCTATCGTCTAATGAGGTAACACAGTGCTGACTGAGCCTGTGGCCCACTGATCAAAGTACTGCAGTATTTACATATCTGCAGTATTACCAAGGGAAAAACTGCAGTATTAAGTTGCAGCACAGAGCAGATGAACCAGGCAGGAAGTCAGACACAGAACGGCAGAGAGAATCCGGTGGATTTTCAAAATAAAAGACCCTGTGCAGACTCCTGATGGCATATCAACAATAAACACAGTTAAAACCAGAGCTTGAAGTGGGCCGGAACGCCCCGGGACGCAGTACTGGCTCCTCCACATTTTACTCTTTGGCGTACCGGGACATTTTCTTGCGTACCGGGACTTCTCCCGAGCTGCCGGTCCTCTCCTCTGCCCTCTCCAGGTCAGGTTGGTGACGCTCACCTGTTCCCCTTCTCTTCTGCCTGCTCTCTGTCGGCGGAGAGAGACGAGGGACAAGAGAAGCTCTTCTATGGCGAGTGGACAGTGTCAGAGCGAGGATCACCAGGAGAAGGAGAAGGAGCAGTCTACCCTGCCGTCTTCACCAGTCTCCATTGTCAGTGTAGCTTTATTTTAACTTTATTGAGTGAATTCAAGTCATGTTTTGTACAGCCTGTGTTAAATGCTTTTATTCTCGTGGCGACTGGGAACTCTGGAGTAGCCTACAGTTCACAGCCTGTGTTGTGCTTTATTGTTTGGATTCACTGTTATTTTGTCCTATAAAATTCCACTGAAGAAGATAACGTTAATGCTTTCACTTCCCCACAATGTGAAAATGGTTGTATTAGGCCTACAGTTACTTATAAAATGAATCCTTCAAGCATTAGAGCTGTGTTACTGACTTTAGTAAAGTTTGATGCTGTTCTGATGCTCATGTTTTAATTTGCAGCGCCGCCCCTCTGCCAGTTAAACTGCCTCTCACTGTCTTTTTAAAATGGTTAACATTTGAAAACAAAACATTTATGGCTGCATCAAATATGGGAACAGATATATTATCCCAGTCAATAAATGAAGGATGGGAGGCTTGAACTTCAAGTTGTCTCTGATATCTATAATGCAACAGTGTAGCTTCATTTCATGGTCAATTAAATTACAAACATTACATCATCATATTGTTGAAGTTGTAGCTATAGTCTATTAACAAATAAATGTAAAAACACACTCCATGTTATATTTTAGTAGGTAAACCCCACAATTAATTGAGTTTTTGCAGCCTAATAAAAGACCAGGGCCGTATTTATCAAGCTTCTCAAAGAGTCATTTCAGTCTGAAGTGCTGAGATTTCATGAAATTTCCTCCTACTTTTAAACTGAAGAATCAAATTTCTCAAAGCTAAGATTCACTCTTAGTTATTTAAGCCAGCTCGAGAGGTCTCAGGCGGTCAGGAGCTGCCAGTAGGGCTTGTGATGGCGCTGTGGAGACAGAGACATGCGGAGAGGAGAGGAAGGATTCTGACGACGCGCAGTTAATAAGACTGAGTCGGACAGCGCAGGCAGAATCTTTGTCAGCGAGTTGGTGAGGGACGTCATCTCATCACTGACTTTACGCAATAATGCGTTTTCAGTTAAACTGAAGGTGGTGATGACGCTTCGTTTATTTGCCGCAGCAATGCTGATGATTTTGGCCCGTCACAACCATCAACAATAGCTGTGGAAACAATTTTAGCACTTACAGCTCCACACACTGTCACGTTTCATCGACTTCCCAACAACCCCCCCGTAATCCCACAGACGCAAACACAGTTCATGCAAATAGCAATACAGGAGCACTATAGGCGCATTTGATGGCGCTCATATAAAGAGACACTTTTTAATCTTTCATTTATTAATGTGAAGGCCTATATCATAATGTATTATCTTGAAAAACCTTTATTGTTAAATATAAACTCCTCTGAGGAATTTCACCAGAATATAAAGAAGGAAATCTCTTCAGTGATTGGTCCTCGGCTACATCGTCATCCAAAATCCTGTTAGCGGCGCAGCAAAGTGTCGTGAATCAGCACTGAGACTGACACTTAAGATTTAGTCCTACACTTCACTCAAATTAGGACTATGATGCTTGATCACTAACTTTTAAGCTTTGAGCCAAGAATGTTTTTACTCTTAAGTCGGTTCTTAGCAGCGTTCTTATGAGTAATTCTGAGAAGCTTGATAAATACGGGCCCTGGTCCAAAGCTAACAAAGTTTCTGGAAGGAAAGACTATTGCAGATTTCATCCACTAGATGGAGCCACAGCCTTGTAATGTGCAGCAAATACACTAACTTGAAGTGCTGTAGTTAAAGTGCACAAACTTTTAATTTACAGATTATTTAGACTATTAACTGAACAAAACATAATACAACCTTGTTCATAAGATTTTGACATCGTATTAAGTTTTGATGTGAGTTTTCCAGGCCCTTGTCTTGTCAGAATAGGCCTTGTGCTGCGTGTTTAACCATTTGATGTGTATGTGGGCATGGCGGTGTGTTCGGTTTGTGTGATGTAGTTTTAGTGTATAAACAAGTTCAAAGCAGACCAGCGGAAACAGTGATAGCTGCCATTAACGTGGCCAAGTTGTTTCTACACTTTCCTTCAAGCGTCCATGAACTTTGGCTGAACAATTGCTGCTACTGCTGTTCGTGAAAAGTTTTTATAAGCAAATGTAAACTTATTAGGGATAGTCTGTGCTACTGCAAAGGTATTAGCAACATTTTAACCATGACAGAGAAAGTGAATTTGTGCTTTATACTTTGTCAATTACAGCGAGCCAGGCAGCCTTCTGTGTTTGAGAACTGCACTGTTTTTTTAAATCGCCCACTAGAGGGCTGCAGCGCCGCAATAACCAGCCTGGTTAAAATGAACGAAATGACACAAAAAAAGATTAGAGTTCATTTTAATGAACGAGATTTGGTGACTCGAGTCTGTCAAAAGAGTGAGACTGGCACTGGTTAAACAGACAAAAAGAAACAGTTTCACTACGACGCTACTGAACCAGAGTAGAAGCACAAACATCAAGGACAACTGAACAAATAAGCAAAATCTGAACAAGTCAGCAAAATCAGGCAGGCAAAACGCTCTTATTGTGAAATTCTCCGTGTGGACACAAGATGACAGATTAACAACACGTTAACAACACGGGGCAGCTAAACACTGCGCTGCTGAAACACTTCAGTGTGAGTTCACACCGGACAAACCTGCAGCACAGCCTGTGTCGCTTCATTAACACCTTTTCCTCTGGTTTCATTTGTTGCTGTAAAATGTTCACGCCCTGTGCCCGCTCTGATTGGTGAGCAGATCTGTCGCACAAGGACGACAACAGAATGAACCTGTAGCTGCACGACTGTTTAAAAACCGTAGTAGTGTGGATGTAGCCTCACATCACTCCTCTCTCTGCTCCTCTCATGTCGCACATTTCTGTTCTCACCCGCTGTCCTGCCGTTAAATGTTTCCCCGTAAATCTCCCGTATCTTTAACCTTTATGAAAGCAAATAAAAACCGTCCAAATGTTCATGTTCATTTGTGCCACGGTCTGTTCACATGTGTTCTTCCTTACATAAGGGAAACAGGCTGAGGTGTTTGACGCTCAGATGGAGCGCAGAGTGGAGACGCTGTCAGGTACGAGTATGAAATTTCTGTGATACGTGTGTCATGGCCAGACGCACAAAAAAGCCTCTTGGAGCCATTGCCTAAACCCAACAGGAAATCGGCCATTTTGGATTTAATGGTCATTTTTCGCGATTTACACACTCTGTATTTCTTCCTAGAGAATTAGTCCAATCGACTTCTAATTTTGCTGTGCAGTCTAAACCCATTCACGATTAAAAGTTGTACAAACGGTGAGTTTTCGTGGAACGACATGGCCATGGCGTGTTGTCCAAAATCGATGATTTGTCATAAAACAGTAAGTTGTAACTTCAGTCCAGATGCTCAAATCTGCACCAAATTTGGAATGAACTATAAGATTCCCGCCCTGAACACATCCACATGCCAATATTCACTTTAAGTCACAGAGTCACACAGAACGCTGCTGCTTGAGTCCTCACTAAGACCAAAAAAGTGGATCACGTTATTCCACTTCTGAGGTGTTTACATTGGCTGCCTGTCTGTCAGAGAATTGATTTCTACCAATACTGCTTTTGGTTTATAAAGCACTGAATGGTTTAAGGCCAAAATACATTGCTGCTGCTACGTTATGAACCATCTTGAACCTGACATGGCCACTTGTGATCACCGTGGAATCAGTAAAAGGCTAGTGATCCCAAAAGGACTCCAGTCAATCAATCAATCAATCTTTATTTATATAGCACTTTTCATACAAATACATGTAACACAAAGTGATTCACTCTGTAGAACCATTTAAAATAGTTAAAATACTAAAACATGAAATAAAAAACAGGTCAAGCCCAACAATCAATCCCCGCCCCACCCAAAATACAGCTCAGTTAAAAGCTTGCTTAAATAGGTATGTCTTTAGTTTGCCTTTAAACATGTCCAGATTCCCTGCTGCTCTCAGCTTAACAGGAAGGGAGTTCAACAAACGCAGGCCATAACATTGAAAGGATGCCTCACCGTAGGTTTTAGTTGAGGCTTTAGGAATAATTAGAAAGCCACTGCCAGAGGACCTGAGGGTTCTAGTAGCTTCAAAAGGTAAAAGCAAATCTGCTATGTATTCTGGACCAATACCATTAAATGACTTATAAAGTAGTAAAAGGATTTTAAAATTAGCTGGAAGCCAATGCAGAGACTTTAGGATAGGGGTAATGTGTGTTCTCTTTCTGGTCTTAGTAAAAAGACGTGCAGCAGAGCTTTGAACCAGCTGCAGTTTAGAGATTTTATTTTTCGGAAGACCAGAAAGCAGAGCATTACAGTAATCAATCCTGGAAGTAATAAAAGCATGGATAAGTGTCTCAATCTTTGCTTGAGAGAGAAAGGGTCGTACTCTAGCAATGTTCTTGAGATGATAAAAAGCGGTCTTAGAAATATTTCTAATATGTGACTCAAAACTGACATCTGAGTCAAAGATAACTCCCAGGTTTTTCACGTTATCACAGGGACTTAGTGCCAGCATTCGCAATTTCATTTTAAGTTTCTCCGTCTGAGATTCAGAACCAATGACCAATACTTGTGTTTTGTCCTGATTGAGCTGCAGAAAATGTTCTGCCATCCATGACTGTATGTGTAGGAAACAATTAAAAAGAGCGTCTACTGGTCCTGGGTCATCAGGGGACACAGCAATGTATAGCTGGGTGTCATCAACTGTGAAAATTGATGCTGTGGCTCCTGATGACGTCTCCAAGCGGCAGCATGTACAAATTAAACAGGGTCGGGCCTAAGATTGAGCCCTGTGGGACACCACAATTCATTTTATGTCTTCTAGAAAGAGAATCATCAATACACACAAAGAAATCTCTATCAGTGAGATATGATCGGAACCAATTAAGAACAGTTTGTTTCCGTCTGTTTAGAAGAACTGAGTGATCTACTGTATCAAAAGCTGCACTTAGATCAAGTAGCATTAATATTGATGTTTTTTTCATATCCATGTTCCATCTAAGATCATTAACAATTTTTATCAATGCTGTCTCAGTACTGTGATTGGTTCAAAAACCAGACTGGTATTTATCATAAATATTTTGGGAGTTAATAAAATTGTTCAGCTGATTAAAAACAACTTTCTCTAAAATTTCACTTTTTCGCAAATCTGTAGTTATTGAGTACCGTAACATCTAAATTATTCTTCTTCAGAAGGGGCTTCACCATAGCAGTTTTAAAGGCAGTAGGGAAGACACCCATCTGTAGAGAATAGTTCACAATGGTCAAAAGATACTCACTAAAAAAGGCATAATGTGTTTTAAAAAGAGAAGTGGGGATGAGATCTAACAGGCAAGTTGTTGGTTTCAGTAGAGTAACAATTTTACAAAGCATGCCAGCGTCAACCAGGTCAAAAATATGCAATGTATCCCTGGATGTAGATAGAGGATCCACTTTATTAAAATGTACCTGCCGATGTAGTGATATATTTGACCTAATAGAATCTATTTTACTTCTGAAGTGGAGCGCAAAGTCTTCACATTTGGAGTTTGTTGACATGCTGCTAGGTTTTGTTAAAACAGGGTTAATTAAACGATCAATTGTTGAGAAGAGAACTTCAGGGTTGTTCTGGTTGTCACTCCAATACTCAGTGAACACTGCAGTAGTTACACATAGGAAGGTGAATTGGTAAGAGGTGTCTGACTGATTGTGGTGGGCCTCCTGGGATCAAAATCCCCAGGCTGATTTTTCGTCCCGGTCCAGCCCTGCACATGGGCACATTTCTACATCTACAAGTTCCACTGTTACAGGTGTTCAGTAGCTTTGCTCCAATAATACCTTTAGAATAATATCTATACTGGAAAGTGTAGCAGTAGTGACATACCTGACATGAAATACTGTCGGAAATGTACCAGAAGAGCCCCAGCAGCAACAATACCAGCAACCAGGAGAACCAGGAGAACCAGGAGAACTTTGGCCCAGAATGGAAATAGTTCTGTGGAAACAAGAAACAAAAAGAACATGACCTCTGACCTCTGACCTGTATCTACAGCAGGTGTTATGGTTTATTGCTGACCTTTGACCTGCAGCTGGATGTTTCTCACTCTCAGTTGTCCTCCTAAACCTTTGGCAGTGCAGGTGTAGCTGCCGCTGTCGGACCAGTGGAGTTTTGTTAGGTTCAGGCTGAGGTCTCCAGTTTCCAGAGCGTCAGTCATCATGGATGTTCGGCCGCTGTAAAGCTGGTTTTGGTCTTTAAGTTCATCACCTTCCTGCTGACGCTGGTGGACGGTTGGAGGATTGAGATCGTAGCGGCTCCACACCACTGTGGGGTTGTCCATCTCAAAAGTCTGAAACTCACAGGGCAGCAGGACAAACTCCTCCCTGTCATACAGCTCCACAGCTGAGGCATGCTGGGAAACTTTGAGGTCACAGAGAAAGAGAGGTTTAATCACAACCACACTGACTTCTGACCTGTATCTTCAGCACTTGTTAGGGTTTGTTGCTGACCTTTGACCTTCAGCTGTATGTTTCCCACTCTCCGTTGATCTCCTAACCATCTGACAGTGCAGGTGTAGCTGCCGCTGTCAGAGAGCTGGAGTTTTGTCAGCTTGAGGCTGAGGTCTCCAGTTTCCAGAGCGTCAGTCATCATGGATGTTCGGCCGCTGTAAAGCTGGTTTTGGTATGTGAGTCCTTCACCTTCCTGCTGACGCTGGTGGACGGTTGGAGGATTGAGATCATAGCGGCTCCACACCACTGTGGGGTTGTCCATGTCAAAGGTGTTAAACTGACAGGGCAGCAGGACAAACTCCTCCCCCTCATACAGCTCCACAGCTGAGGTATGCTGGGAAACTGTGAGGTCACACAGACAGAGAGGTTCAATCACAGCAGCCTTATTTCATGTCTTATTCCTCCTGGATCCTCAGGTGACCCAGAAACCAACCTGGTCCTGTCTGTGATTGGACGCTGCAGCTGATCAGCTGCTGTGAAACCACATCAGCACAGTTTAAAACCAACATCAGCTGACAAATAACAGAAGCACCTCAGCTGTCATGTCATGGATCTGGAAGGGAGCCACTGCCTGGAACCTCTGACTTCCCCTGCTCATTCTCTTTTTTGAATAAACTGTCTTTTACTCAGATCTGCGTTTGGGTCTTCTCTGCCTGGAAAACCTGACACATAATCAAGGCAACGATTTCTTAAACCTATAATAGGATTTGTTTAACTCAAAAATAGATCAACAATCAATAACTTTACCAAGTAAATCACTATTACCTATTCTACTCAAAAATGAATAAATTTCAAGGCAAGTTTATTTGTATAGCAAATTTCAACAACAAGGCAATTCAAAAACCATAAAAGCATACAAACACTCATTAGCTGAAAAAAATTCCCCGCATGGAGGTCCCCTCTTTGGTAGTTAGATACTGCTCAAGGATCCAAGTGCCCTCTTGGCAATTTCTTGAAGACAATGTTCTGGTTTTATTTTCACAGACCCCATCATTGGCCTATGGTAACCCCTCCTAGTCTCTTATCATTGGCTCACGGTAACTCTGCCCACCCTCTTATTTTGTATGTGACAGCATGTGGGAGATAACTGGTGAGGGGTTGGGGCCGTTGCTTCTGGTACAACCAGATTATTATATAGTCTGTAGTTCCAAACTCTTGTCTCCGGCTGATAAAAATAGGTTCCTGTTTCAAAAACGAACTCTGTCTGATAAAACCAGACCGTTTTTTAACAACCGGAGTCTGGGGTTATAGATAACCATAGTTAATAACTGGTCTACAAGATTACCTGAAGATGACATTAAACACACAACACGACTCATTGAGAAAGCAGAGGGAGGTGCGGGGGGTGGAGCACATTCCTCAATTCACCCCTGCACAGCCTATGCTACACCAGAAAGAGAGAGGACAGAGAAGAAGAGACACAGACTCACAAGTTTAAGACTAGGCTACAGCTTTGGAGTGATAATGATGGCAAGTGTGTAAGACAAAGCACTAGCAAAGTAATTTGGAACTCTCTCTTATTTTGCTGCATGCTGTTGAAGGTAATTTAAAAATCTGTTTAATTTTAACTCACTGTAATTTAACTCACTTTACTTTAATTATTTCAATTTATTCTTTAGTTCTTTAATGATGGTGAGTTTGTAAGACAAAGCTTTAGCAAAGATTTTACAAAGTTTAATTTTGGAACTCACTCTTATTTTGCTGCAGGCTGTTGAAGGTAATTTATAATGCTGTTTAATTTTTACTCACCGTTATACCATTTCACTGCTTTACTGTCATTATTTCAATTTAGTCTTCACTTGTTTAATAATAAAGACTGACTTGATTCCAAATCAATGAAGAAACCTCCCACTGATCCTTTGCTGGCCCCGGAGATTCCTCCTTTACTTATAACTCACTGCTATACTTTTTTAATGATAAATTTATTGTGCTAAACACCTACTAGTTAATTCATTCAAGTTTTATTACTTAATAAAGTCTTTAAATCAATGAAAAACCTCCTCCAATTATCAGTCAAAAACACACAATGGAAGGATGTACGCACCCCTCTTATCAGTTACATACAGACATCCGGTATGGGGGGCGGGACCGGAAATAGCTGTCAAAAATGAGTTTGATGGAATGTCATGTATGATTCTCTCTCTCACAGGGTAGCGGGGGGCTGGAGCCAATCCCAGCTGACATCGGGCGAAAGATGGGGAGACACCTAAAAGGTTCATTCTTTATTACATTCTGGGAATTAAAGGTTATTTAAACACTATGGAAAATGGGTTCAAATAACAGGAAGAAGGAACAAGACCGTTCTATAATGAATTCTCCAAATATTAATTATATGATTGCTAATTATGGTTTGGGAAGTATTGACCAGCTGGACATGTGGGTAAAGCAGTGTGGTTTCCCGGCAACAGGCAGCTTCAGCCTTAGACAGTTAGACACTCTGAGGATACAATTAGAGAAAAAGGAGAGGGAGAAAAAACCTTTAAAACAAACTGGGCCGCATATTCAGCATGGCTGAGAGAGGCGAGCCACAGGGACAGAAAACTACAGGCAGGGACAGACCCCTCTAACAATTCTGCATCTCAGTGTGTCAAGCTAGATCCGGACCTGGACTCGGTTCCCCCACAACCACGTCGGCCAAACCCTGCTCCACCTACCAATCAACCTGCAGCCGGAGCAGCAGCAGCAGCTCAGCCACTGCCAGTGAAACAGGCAGAGGAGCAGAAACATGTTAAAAAGATTTACCCACACAACGCGCTAACAGCAGCAGCCGCAGCTGTGGGAGGGAGCCATCCAGCCCACACCACACCAGATCCAACAAGATTTATTTACCAACCTCCGGACCTCCATGTGACAGCCCCAATGATGGAAGTGGCGTCCGCAGATGGAAGCGCACAGCTGGTCCACAGACCGCGGCTATACAGCGAGATGAAGGAAGCAACACAAACAGCTTCCTTGAGTCCAGGACAGTGGGGTGAAATATGCTGAACATCTGCTGATCTTTTGCAAACAATTCCGACCCACGACCGCTGAACTGAGACGACTGTTGACCCTTCAGATGGGGGCAACCTGGGCACGGGTGTCAGCAGGTTTTCCCGCAGAGGACATTAGACTCTCAAAACCGTTCTGGGATGACGCAGAGAACGCAAACCACAGACTGGTGGTTAATAATCATTGTAAGAAAATAGAGGAACTATTTCCCCGGAGGCTGGACTGGGCATTATTAACAGGGTGCACACAAAGGCGTGCCGAGACAGTGACAGACTTCCTGAACAGACTCGCTGAACTTCATGAAATCCACAGCGATATGATAAAGCCAGATGCGATGGGACCATCACATATCATCACCCCATGGGAAGCCACTCTCAGAAACAACTTTCTTACTGGACTGAGGCCAGAGATCGTGAACATGGTGAAACACAACTGTTTGACATGGCAACATGGTCACCTGGAGATTATTCAAAGACATGCCTTCCATGCCGAGGATTTCCTCCTGAACAAAAAGGATCAGAGAGAGCAGCAGAATGACAGCCCTGCAGATGGCATAGCTGCAACAAGATCAGAGAAAAGGCAGAAGAAGAGACAGAGGTCAGGGTCGCAGAGGCAGAGGAGGAGGCCGTGGCAGATCTGATGCTTGTTATATCTGCAAAAGCACGGACATTGGGCCCGAAACTGCCCAGAGGCTAACAAAGGACAGATGGCTGATTGACTAGCAGGAGGGAAACCGAGGCCAGGGAAGGAAGGTTTGGACACTGGAACTGAGATGACAGAGCAACCTGCACATGAATCACATGAGAGCACCCACACACTGACACAGAGGTTAAAACTGAAGCAGACATGCAGACTTTGATAAATGAGGCTATTCTGTATCTTGAGCGGAGACAGGAAACTGATAAAGTACAAGGATATATGCGAAATACAAGAATGATGCATATATCAACACATGCCTGAACATACAATCAATGTGGCAGGGAAATGTTGACTCTCATAGTCGACTACAGGTACATCGTAAAAGATTCTCTGCTGTAGTGACTGCAGTGAGAACTGTCGAGCTCATTCCAGATACAGATTGTCAGATGACAAATGTGACAACAGATGATAAAACAAAGATTGATAAACACATTTTTGTCAACATGTCAACATGTCTCAGACATTCCTGAGTTAAGTGAAGTCATGCTTGTGGGCACAGAGTAAGTATGATGTAGAGCTAATTAAAGGTGCTGAACCTGTAGTTATCACCCCAAAATCCTCATACAGACCATGTCAAAATCAATATCCTTTGAAAAGAGAGGCTGTTGAATGCATTAAGCTAGTCGTTGATTCTCTCCTGAAAGCAGGAGTGATTGTGCCTTGTGAAAAATCTCCTGTGAGAACTCCAATCTTCCCAGTGAAGAAAATCCGGGACACCGGACAGCCAGATGAGTGGCGTTTTGTTCAAGACTTAAAACAAGTCAACTCAGCAGTGTACGCACGTGCGCCAAATGTCCCAAACCCTCACACGATCCTCTCACAGGTACCACCTGACAGCAATGGTTTTCTGTCATAGACTTGGCAAATGCATTTTTCCACATTTATCACTGCAGCCTTCTTCTGCTGTTTGTCGATCAGCACGATGTCTGGTTAGTTAGCCATCACCAGTTTGTCAGTCTGGATCTTGAAGTCCCACAGGGTCTTAGCTTGGTCATTCTCAACTACCGTAGGAGGTGTCTTCCTTTTTGACCTTGGGACTTCCAGCCCATACTCATGACAGATGTTCCTGTACACTATGCCAGCTACCTGTTTATGTTGTTCCATATACGCACTTCCTGCCTGCATCTTACACCCTGCTGTTATGTGCTGTACTGTCTCAAGGGCATCCTTGCACAGTCTGCACCTGGGGTCCTGCCTGGTGTGGTAGACCCCAGCCTCTATTGATCTCGTACTGAGTGCCTGTTCTTGTGCCGCCATGATTAGTGCTTCTGTGCTGTCCTTCAGTCCAGCCTTTTCAAGCCACTGGTAGGATTTCTTGATATCAGCCACTTCTTCTATTTGTCTGTGGTACATGCCGTGCAGCGGCTTGTCCCTTCATGAAGGTTCTTCATCTTCCTTGTCCTCACCTTCAGGTTTCAGCTGCCTGAGGTATTCACTAAGCCCTTCATCTTTGGGGGCCATCTTCCTGATGTACTGCTGGATCTTCGTCATTTCATCCTGGACAGTAGTCTTGACACTCACTAGCCCTCGGCCTCCCTCGCTACGCTTGGTGTACAGTCTCAGGGTGCTGGATTTGGGGTGAAACCCTCCATGCATTGTGAGGAGCTTTCTCATCTTGATGTCAGTAGCCTCTATCTTCTCCTTTGGCCAGTTTA